GAAATATCACATAGGATATAGAACTAAAGTCTGGCTGTTAACGAGTAAAGTTACGTCTAGAGTAACTAAGTTATCTACCACAATCTATCTACAAACAAATAATCAAACAATCTACCGTAACAAAAGTCTATTTTGTTGATTTAGAACAATGGAACACGACGGACAACGCACGACGGACGACGCACGACGGACGACGCACGACGGACGACGCACGACGGGCGACGGGCGACGGGCGACGCACGACGGACGACGCACGACGGCAGATATGGAATTCCATAGTTTTGAGACATCCCTGCCTCCCCCAAGAAAATCAAGTTGACAGGGCCGCAAGTGCATGAACTTAGATATTATGGAGAATATCCCTATTTATTTGGCCATACCAAAACTCTGGCAGGGGCCTGCATGAGAGTAATAATTCCAATTGTGGGTCTACACTCTGTTGCAAAGAAGGAAAATAAATTCCAGTAGTCAATTCAAAATTAATGCAAAGCAAGCCAAGCAAAGAATGCGGTCAGTATTGGGATAGAAAACATTCTTTGATACAGTGCCGTCAGGTTTGGTTGCGCTAACTCGTTAGTGATGATATACATGTACATAACCTATTCAGTTTGTCAATTCCGCTGTTCCGCCGAGAACCGTGAAAAATATCGAGCCATAATTCACACTTTAAATTCCCCTGGTGATTACATGGAACATGAACGCCATCTGCAAGTGTTTGTTCCTACTAATCACTACTGTGACCCTTGGGCACTAATCGAATGTAGCACTCTGAAATTATTGAATATTCTCGACAAAAATATCAAAGACTCTCAGTCTTTCATAGACAAGTGTTCATTCACAAACTTCTGGCATGGTATAAAAAAGCCGCCACTCTGCTACTGGTAGCTTCAACGACGTCCGTATCGCGAGTGCTGATCTCTCTGATTAACACGCATGCGTACTGGTCTTCATATACCCCTAACCTTCCTAGGAAAAAGATTACGCTGCCTGGCGTCTCAAAGTCTCCCATTGAGTGTTTTATTATCAACTCAAGGAAGGAACCTGATTATTCCGAAAGTTTACAACAGGTGCATGCTAGAACAAAAACAGATGGGGACGAGCAAGAGGCGGACAAGAGCTCCCAAGGGGAAGTTGCCCCTTCTCTTAACCCCCCCCTCCGTACGTAGCCAGGCTCTTCTCAGAGGGGGCCTCAGAGTTCCCCGGGGGCGTTGCCGCAGGGTTATCCCTTATCACGAAAACAAAAGTTTGTAGTTTTTCCATATGCATTTATTTACAAACATTATCTATTTTCCTTCGCCTGCAAAATCCAAATTTATTACAAACACGAATCAGAAAGCCACAGAAACGGCTTTGGGAATGAAAGCATAATGACATTGTCCGCCGGCTGATTAGAGTATTATATCCAAGCCAAACTCCTTCCTCAGCTACCAACGAATTGGAATTTTTATTTCTTCTATCCAAGAGTTCCGGAAGCGCGCCATCAGGGGTCAACTTTCAGGCTTTATTGACACGTCAGGTTGTGTAAGAGAAGTCATGCATCTCGGAACACTGCGCCGAAGTACCGAAATTCCACGGGGAAATGAGACCTTTTCCCGAGTAATAATTATTCTCCTCTTTCGTGAACTGAAGTCTCAAATTCGCCAAAAACGCCTCTTTCGTGATGGAAGCACGGCCTCGAGCTACCGTCGTGTTAAAACGTGTGAATTATTTATCGGTCACGGGGTTCCGCAGGTTGCGCGTGTGAAAAATGTCAAGTGCCAGGACGGGTGACGACATTCAAAGGCGTCAGAATCATCTACAAATACTGAGACTGTAAAATTCGCCCATATTCGTTGGTGGAATATTTTTTGATATAATGAAATGAACAAAACCTCTCTGTACTCATCATAGTGTACACGTTTTATGTATGTTTTCAAAACAGGTATTAAAATGGTGTGGAACGAAAAATGTACATCCATTTTGTCTGATGCTGAGTGTTGTGTAAGTGTATATACATCATTTGCAAATGTTTAGGACCACCCATAGAAAATGCATTAACCTGAAGGAAAACCAAACTTAAACCAATCAATCATGGCAACTTAGGCTATGTTTATGTTCAATGTGTAGCCTTGGTACTTTGGTTGAACATTTTTGACTACATTTCCATGATTTGACGTCTTAACAGTCTAGCTAATATTCAGTGTGCCCTCCCTTATTTCTGATTGCTTAGACTGGCTTTTTTAAACCCATGCTGCCTTGCGGACAAAATGTCATACAAGACCTGCCTTTGCAAAAAATTTCATTCAAATGGGTATATAGCACTACACTGATGCTATACACCGCTGTAAAATCATGTTAAGGAATCATTCAGTGAGACAGTGTAATGCAGGCCCAGTGACAGAAATACCAATAAAATTCCAGGTGGTCTTAAACTTTTGCAAATGACTGTGAGACTAATGAGAGAACTGATCCTTTGGAAACTGCCATTTTATCCTTTTAAAATTGTGCAGTCTTTCATTTCCTAAAGGCGGAATCCAATCTAATTGTTCAACTTGAATTATGCCCAACATGTCTAAAATACACGTTATATATCTACAGATGTGTGAATCTGTAAAGGAATTTCACAACTGGATGCGGAGGGGGTGAAAGGGGCGGGGCCAATTATGTAAATCTGTAGAACAGTTTGAATAATTTAAATGCATTTAACCGCCATAGATCAACAGATTGCCTTTTCTGCATCAGGGGAGTGCGTCAAACATTTCCATCAGGTGTCAAAAATACACCTCGGTTGCGAGAGGTTCCAAGGGTGACTTGTCAGAGTCAACACATTCGCTCGTCTCCGATAATGGAGCATAATTTTTGACCGAGGAGGAATGACTCATCAAAACGTGTACAGCAAAGAATCTTTCAAGGGTCTAGGCCTAATTATACAAAAAGACTGTGCATGTTTCACATGCGCAATATGATTGTTGTGACACTTTAACTGGATCTCGCCTAAAAAGAAAAACTACATTAACTTTCAAACTACATACATCTTCAATGAAAAACAAATCTTTCCTTACTAAAACAGTTATAAGGTCGTTTCCTGAAGTTTTACTTCTTACAAGTTTGGCAACTTTCCCCACAAGGACTCAGTGAATTAGAACGCTTTTGAGATCTCATATTTTGTTTGTATCTTATTCTGTCTGACCCGGGATTGCACGTTGATAATGGATGATATACTTTAACCCACAAAATATGGGTCATGATAGCCGGGGTAAATGATTAATGTGTTCACGTTATTGCAAGATAACGATCAATGAATATTAAAGTATATCATCTATTAAGAAACAAAAAATACCTCTAAATCTGCCTTCTGCTTCTGCCTGATAGTTGCATATTCCACTTTCGTAATTGATTTCCCCTCACCACCATTGTATAGGAACGGCCTAACCTGAAACAAAACACACTCGCGAGCCTGAAAAGATATCACCTTTTAACGGTGGACAAAAGCGTATCATGACAATATTGTTTTAGATGTGGATGCCTTATGTTCAAACTAGTCACTGACATTCTTGTCACGCTTTCTGAAACCGGGGTACAAAGGACAGACATTTCATGGCTGGTGTGCTGTATCCACGTTCACTCGATACGGAATGCTCATGGGATATTATACATAATGAATGTTTCACAATCGTGCCATGGTAAGAATAATTTCATGAGGAGTCAGATGAACCGTTTGATTTCATGAGGCGAAGCCGAGTGTTTTATACAGTACCTGCATAAATCCCCGTCTGTTAGGGGGACAAGTAGGTCCCGCTTGCAGATATTATCGTCCGTCATTTTGCCAGATTCAGTGTACTGTTCAGTGTTGGACTGGTTCCCGTACCTACAATATTTTCCTCTTTCTTACTGGGAACGAAATATTTCATGTAGGGCCTATACGAAATGGGGGTGTGAACCAGTCCAGTGAAGTTCTATTCAACTGGTATATCGTTCTTATAACGATTGTAAACGGGCCTTGGGTTAAATTGAACGACTTTTCGCTGAAATCGGCTAGGAAAACTGATATTAACACGTGTACTAACTGTATAATTATCCACGAGTCATGTCAGAGCTATTTGAACTTTGACCTACCCTTCTTTGCAAGAACTCTCTGAAATCCTCCTCGCTGAGTCTGTAGAATTCCTCCACGAGCCGTCCTCTCCCGGCAAAGTGCACCAACTGGAAGAAAACATTTGTACGGCGTTTTAAAAGCTAGGACTAAATCAATAACACTTGGAATGCGAGATACCTCTTTTCCTGACATGTTAGTTCCAATCTTTTTCAGGTCTTGCGAAGTTTTTTCTTCCGGAGAACGTCGCAGATTATGCTGCACTTCACGTTAGGAGGCTTATTAGCCGCGTAGCGCGCAATTGAATGAAGATTAAAAGCTTGGAAACCTCTTCTTCGTGGGCCTGTTAGTACGGAGCTCTGGAAGTGCCATCCGACTTGTTGAGATCCTAACATACTTTTTGTCTGGATGACAAAATAATACAGGCAAGATGTTGACATCCTGAGATAATTTATTACGGGATGACGACATCGTAAACGTTTTATTAATCCAATTAATATCATGTATGGCAATAGGAAGACAATGGAAGCTCTGGAAGTGCCATATTTTGGGGGATGACGACATCGTAGAGGTAAGATGTCAACATCCTGAGATACTTTATCACGGATGACGACATCGTAAAAGTGGAATAATGACATTATTTGGGAATGGTTGCATTGCCAAACCACCTTGAAAACGCACAGGTGGCCTGAGGTGCTTCTGTCTTTTACAGCATTGTCTTCATCATACACGATGTTAAATAGATTGATAGCACGACATGATGTCTCACCGTCTGTTACAAGTAGTGAAGTAGACATCACACTTTCTGGGTGTCTCTGGATGACGACATCTTGAGATAATGATTATCTCAGGATCCAACTGTTAGGATGTCGTTATCCTATGATAAATGATCTGAGGATGTCGTCATCCAACTTTCTCGATGTCATCATCCAGTCATAAACTATCTCAGGATGTCGACATCTTGTCTTTATTATGTCCTCATCCCGAGAAAAAAATATGTCAGGATCTCAAAAGTCGAATGGCACTTCCAGAGCTCCTTATGTTTGTTTCCCGTGGATCCGAATCCCGATCAGTGGTCCAAAATTGGTTCACTGGCACCAGATCCCGTCTGATAGATGGTGTGGACCACAAACGTTGGGATCACTGATCAAGATCGAGATCTTTTGAAAAAAAGCCCTCTATGTCCACCAGTGTGACACTACTGCAATGAAAGCATCCAATAAATTCGCATATAAAATCCTCGGAAGGTCTCATCTGGCTGTGCTGTACAAGCGAAGGAGGTGTCTAAATCTTACTGGCTAGGCCTATGGCTTCGGTTTTTTGGGGGTTTTTTTTGGCCATTTGCGTCAAGTTATTTAGCCACAGGAATATTGCCGTTCTGGACACCGAGAGGGCGTATCAAAGAGGCTTATTAGAAACGTACAGTGCAAAGAATATGTACTAAAGCCGTGTCCATCTTTTTTGGCTATGGGGATAGCAATAAACACTTTAACACGCCCATGAGAAGTGCTTAAAGCCGCTACATATAGTTTGCAGCTTTCATTGGCACACTTATCATAGCCAGCTCAGCCAATTGATTTGGACAGGGCCATGGCACAGACGACAGCAATAATTTTGTCAAGCAGAGCTAATTCATCACTGCACTGTATGTCTCGCATGTTGCAAAATGGCAAACGAGTACGCTCGAAGTAATAACAACGCGCTGATAATGACCAGTCATGACAATGAGAGCATAGCTCAAGGCAAAATATTGTAAATGATTTGCAGCTCCTCTCATTTAGTCTGACGCAGTGTCATGCCAAACCTTGTAAACGGGGTTCTTCTCGTACTGTTCGTGCTGTCGCTTCCACTGTCGCTCGGGCTTGCCCGCATCGAAAGGGGAGGCTACCCCCGTGTGACACCAGACTGAGCACTTGTCCACAAAAGAGCCCATGTCCGCCAGTGGTAAGGCAAGAGTACTATGGGTACCCTTCCTTTCAACCAATCAGGAGGAGGGGGGGTGGTCTCTTCAGAACTTGAAGCTGGCTATGGCATCGTCAAAGCAGTATTTCGAAGGCTATGAGAGCGGATGGCTAGTGACAAACAATAATTTTGGACTGTAGTTGGCTTGTTACACAGCTTTTTACCAGTGACGTATCCAGATCTTGGCTCAGGGGCAAAGTGGAATTTTCCCCAAAACGATTGAAATAGTTTTCTCTCAAAGAGATCAGGTGGTAGTACCAAGTACGAAAAGGCTGGTGCTTTCATCCCCCAGTGGCCGCACAAATTCCCGGTGCGCTCCCCAGGTGCCCCCCAAACAACGGATGAATGGATATTGAACAAGGCTAACAAAAGCTTGCATCCAAAAAACCACACCACTTAAAGCTGGTACCCCCCATAAGATGCTGGTGCCCCTCCCCACAAGTAAAGTCCTAGCTACGCCACTGCACCCCCCTCAAAAAAAAGATTGTCTCTGAACCGCCTTCTGGATACGCCACTTTCACGGGATACCATAGTTGCTTTTGATAGAAAAACACATATCGATATGAAAAGAAGATTTGTATATTGGCTTTCATAATGGCTTTTAACACACTGGTGATACGGCGAGTTAAAAGAGGAGTTTGAAGTTGGGAGGGAGTGGAACGCCTGGGAAAACTAAGACGGGTTTAATTGAAAGGGGTAATGATATGACACGCATACTCAACTGAGTAGCTTAGGTACACTCGCTCAGACCCGAATGCAATTGGGAGCCTGTTTTCATTCAAGGAATGGCATTAGTACATAAAACACTTGTCTCTGGTCATTAATGCAAAGTGGGTAGCGGTATTTCCCGTTCGCGGTTGTACTCACTCTGCACGGAGGCACAAATCCGGCGTTCGTACTGGTGCATTCAGTGAAACCGAGCAATATTAACGTCGGAAATGAGACCGGTTGGCCGTAATTGTGATCTACAAATATGACCGTACTCGGGTCTGTAGACATTTCGATTGGCATAAATTGAGACGTTGGCTGTACGCGAATACTGCGCGAGGATCAGGCGTTGCTGTCAACGATTAGCCCCACAACGGTCCGGGATGAGACGCGGGGTGAGGATGTGTGAGGGAACACTTCATGTATTTCCAGGGAACTTCACCACATCGAGTAAAGCAGTCATTACGATTACATTTCATCAGGGATTTTACATGTTGCAGAAATTTCGGTGTCGCCTCAATTATTATGAAAAAGGGTTACAATTGTTGTAAACGAAAATTATTTTTATTCATTTTGGTATTTTGTCGAAATATACTGTGGCAGTTAACGATCCCCAAAGAACGATCTTCATCACACCTTGGCACGGCCGGTGTTGGTTACTTCCAATTTAGATTTCGCTGACGGGCTATCGACATTTATTAAATTAAGTTGGCCCTCATATTGTGCAAATGAAAAAGGATTAATAATTCACGTCATAATTTATTGTGAAAAGGTGAGGTTTAAAAAGAGTGCAGTATTGTTTGTCAGCTTGCGAGAATATAAGGCATTGTGAAAACGGTGTCAAAATGCGCGTAAGAAATCAGCTGAAAAACTTACAGAGACTACACACAAAATTTTAAACGTTAATGGCAGACGCTAATTAGTTTACCAGAAGCAAAACCTGTCAGATTCGGCCAGGCTAAGGATTAACTTTGGAGCTCTGAAGGTGCCACCCGACTAGTTGAGATCCTGACACATTCTATCTTAGGATAACGACATATTACAGTCAAGATGTCGACACCCTGGGTTGATTTATCACGGCAAGACGACATCCTCGGTTAATGCATTACAAGATGACAACATCCTGAACGTGGGAAGTCGACACTCTGAGATAATTTATTACAGGATGCTTGAGGAAATTCTCAAAGAGGGAAGTCTACCCCCTCAAAATTTATCACAAGATGATTGACATTCTGCGAGTGGTAAGTCGACATCCTTGGATGGTGTTCCAGGGCATGACGATATCCTGGAGGAAAGTAACACACGTGTACATTATCTCGGGATGTCCATATCCCACTCTGAGGGAGTCTTCATCCCGTGATAAATTATCCCAGGAAGTATCTTATTTTAAGATGTCATTCTATATTTGTTGATGTCGACTTCACATTTTTAGGATGCCAACATCCTTTGACAGGTTATCTGAAAATGGCTTCACCTCGAAGAAATTTAGGAAATGAAATTTAACGAATTCCTTTAAAAATCGTTTATCCTCCCGCAGGTCATCTCAGCGCATGCGAATACAATCCGTTTACATGTGTCCGTAACTCTGTTACACGGGTTGCCTCATCAAAACCCGATAAAAGCATATACACTGATGAGATCGGGCTAATAAACGTCTTCATATCAAGTGTCTGGGTTCAACCCTGTAATATATTTCCCTTTCCGTTTGACGACTCTGCGCTACGCTGATACGTAATTCATACGAATAGAGAGCCTGTGCAAAACAGCGTTATAATGGCTTGAGACGAAGTTGTGAGGATATGAAACGCCAACTTTTGAAAGGGCAGCGATTCAGCAATCATTCCAGAGCATTCGAGGTCAAATCTCTCATTAATATTTAATAATATTTAATATGGTTGTATTTTCATTTAGTATTTTATAGTGCGTGTATCTGGTGTTCTGATAGCTGCGTGGGATATTTTTAACACTTTTTGGATTGTTTTACTCCTTTAATACAGACAGCCAGCCATAGCTTTGGAAGCTAATTGTTGGAAAAACACGACTGTGACGCCAAAAGAACAGACCTTATGCAATGTCAGATGACCATATATCAGCTGAGTACTTTTTCTTACACATATATATAACTGGGTTTTCCAGTCCCAAGGTCGTCAATACTCAGATGCCAGCTGGTCAAAATTTAGAGGTGAAGAGAACGTTAATCGTCCGATAGGCACATGAGCGACGCCAGTATGCAATACTGTTACATATGCAAAGGCACCTCGTAAAATCTGTTAAAACTTAATTCGAAAGATAACAGCGCACCGCCGTCTCGATTTTCGAACTATTGTCGATCTCTGAGACGGGGCGATGGTCCATTGAGGATCTGCTTTGCGATTCTGTAAACGTCTGTCGCTTTCCGATCTTTTTTGTCTTATGAAAAAGAAATAAATGGGGCACACATGTTATTAGAACACATATTTCTTATGGTGTCGAGGTCAAACTGGATTAGAAGTATAGTATATGAATGTTGTGCGCAGTTTTATAGGTACCAACTATATGCTCCGGGTTACCACCAATCACCGTGCGTCTACTTAACACGATGGGATCAGCTGACCAAGTATCCACCAATAATCATCCCAGCTTCCTTTCAGATAAATGGATCTTATTTTGCTGGCGCGCAAGGTAACAAATTTTGCTTACAACGGACCTTTGTTCCCAGCTTATCATGGTGCGGTGAGTGCAACATATTGACTCAGAGACAAAGCCGCAAAGATTACACTTTTTGTACAAAATTTATATTCATTTCCATATTTTGTTTTTAGTTTCAAGCTATTACGAGATGACATTTCCATTCGTAATGTTATTATTTACAATGCGTGAGCAAGATTTTTCTGGGGGGATTGGGGGTTGGCGAAGATTTCATATGCAGCAAACTTTTAAACCGTTAACGGTGGAAGAGGGTCAATTCCCAAGTACTTTTCAAGCACATTAGCGACTCTCCTTCCATTTCCTCCTCTTTTCGATTCTTTTGGGTTTTTTTTCTAGTTTTGAATTTTCATTTTTCCCTACGGGCAAGCGCTCCCGCCCCTCCCCCCGCCTGACCTCCTCGTGCGTGAGACGAGAGAGTCACTTCTCCCCGTCTGAACGTGGCATTCCAGTAATTCGCAATGTTTGTACTCCTCTTGTCAGGTAACACGTTTCCTGTTTCCCCCGGCTCTGCATACGAGCGCTCCACCCTTTTCATTTGTCTTTAACTTATTCATGGTCCTAGCCATCAACTGCCTTCATTCAAGGCAATTCATTAGTGTGAATCCTATTGAAAATCGCACATGCATGCCGAAAGAGGTTGATGAAATAGTGGTGACCAACTCCATTGGATCCCATTGTAGGTTTCTCTTTACAGTTTGAAGAGAGACAAATTTCGAAGGATTTCGTGATTATTGCTATTCAGTGATATCAATCATTGTGCATCAGAACAGTGCTCGAACAATAATTATGTCCCAAATGAATTGCATAATGACGTTTGTTAAAAAAAGACTAGGATTTCCCAGTTTAAGTCACTATAATAGCATTTTATATAACAGGTTTTGCCCTTAACCATCCCGCCTCAATTCTGTCTGTGTCAGCAGACACTCTTTTCAAATGTATTTGAAATACCCGGAACAAAAATAACGTTACCTTTAGGAACATAACTGAGGTTATAATTCAGTCTTTTTGACGATTTCTCGAATGCTCTTTTCTCTGACTCTCGTTCTCTGATGGTTTGTATTCCCTCTTCATTTGAGGCTGAGAGTATTTATAAAGAATGTCATTACAGATGCAACACAAATTTGCCACGGGCAGAATCGATTCAAATTCAAATCGTCTTACGAAATGAATACAATATTATATATAGTAGGGTTTTGAAACCTGGTCTTTCTTTAATTGCGTTCAGGGCTCTCGTGCGTCCCATATTGGAATATGGTAATGCAATCTGGAATCCTTATCATAAACAATCACGTTAATGAAATTGAACGAATTCAAACAATAACGGCACACTTTGTCATTGATGACTGCAGCCGTGTGACCAGCGCATCCCTGTTGGTTCAAAATCAAGAACTGGATACACTTAAGGAAGAACGCATCAGTGCCAGACTCGTCTTGATTCATAAGGAATCGCTTGGGTTGATAACGAGCAACATTGACTGGTTTAGGCACAGCGGTTATCGCCAGTCCCGCAGGTGATGTATGGCCACCACTCAACTCAACTATGCGATCGGCTTTCAACGAAGATTATTTCAAGCACTCCCTCTAGCCAAGAACACTTGCGAATGGAACCAGTTCTCAGAAGATATCAAGACAGCTTCAAGCCTTTCCAGGTTGAAGTCAGCCTTGGATGCTATGGGTGATAAACATCTAGTTCAGCGGGCCCATTTTAAACTTAATTTTTGCTGCTGCCACATTGACTGTAACGTGATAGCCCAATGGGTCGTTGTGTAGAGCATATGAGCAGAAGCAGAAACGTTTCGGGTCCATACATTTCTATTTTCTGCTAAATAGAAGATATTTTTCGCAGTCTCTGCGGCAAAAATTTGAGAATTATTCCGAGGCCCTTAATGAATAAAACCGAAGCTACATGAGACAAAGCTGCAATTTGGAATATCGCCAAGACATAACACACCTTTTCTCTCTGCCCGCCCCAGCATGTCGAGGTCAAAATGATAACAGAGGGATTGGGAATACGCACAAATATCCTGGCCGCATGCCTTGGAGATGAAACTGTGCCCCAAAGCCAGGGACCCTGAGTATGGGTGAGATTGAAAACAAAACCAAACAAACAAACAAACAAACAAACACCCCAACAAACAAGTAAACGAAGCCTCTTTCTCATTACAAAGAGATCGGCCTGATTCCCTGTGCGTATATTTCAACATGGTCACTGATGGCAGTCAGCATGTCTCGTTTAAATATGTGACAAGGCAAAATGTGCAGGACAAGTGAAATAATGACTCAACCCCTTTTCGGCGAGTGTCATGCGTTTCATCACACTTGTGATTTCTGACGGTCTCTGTTGATTTAACTGTGTCGGGATTTGTGTCTATAAACGAAAAAAAATCCCTGCCTTGTGCTGGGTGCAGTCAAGTGAGTAATTATTCTGCCACAAAATGGCATCTTATAATTGTGATCCCAAACAGGAGAACCAAAAGGCACGCGCTGTCTGCATAGGCATATGTAATAAAAAAGTTAAATATAACTGAGCAAATCGACGCAAACTTTGATTTGCCGGAATAGAAACTGGAGGTACAAAATTCGATTTCGGTGAAAAAACCAAATGAGCTCTCACTATGCATGATTATATGCTGTGCAAGTATGTGGCTCGTGTCTGATTCAGCACCAACATTTTTTTTAAATCAAATACACAAACACCCTCAGAAAATCAAATCTACATCAAGCAGAAATTGTGAGGGGGTTTCTTGAATGCGTAAAATAAGTTTAAAGGCTTACCTAGTATCTCCAATATCATTTAGTAATCTGCTGCTAGTAATCCATAGCCTTCTGCTCTGCAGTCCTTCAGCCAGAGGATATCACTCGCCGTACGCGAAGAGCCTGCGCAACCCTCCGAGTCCGGCGGTGACGAGACGCCAGTAGGTAACTCACTCGGACCGCCCACCTCTCAATTCATGATTGACTTAATTGCAATTATTACGTTCCGTGTGTGTGATGACCATTGAAACTAATTCGGGCATTTACCGGCCGGTGGAGTGCATTTACCTGCAAAGCTAATCGATGCGTTTTGGAGGGCGGTACAAGGCGTCTGCATAGAACGATCGATGTTTCTTGGTTAGCGGTCACGAGGTTGTGAAGCGAGATCAGCACTTAAATCAGAAATGACCAATAAGGGTGATTACACTCATTTGTGAATCAAAGATACACTATCAGAATCATCTAAACCCAGGATCCAACGGAATGTGTACGTATATACAACTTCCAGGTTGACGACCACTCAACCGTACCCCGCTCGATAGAAGATGTTCTCTGACGTTTTCCTTGCCTGATGTATACGCGCCCGTACCGACAGTGATATTTTTTTTTTCGACAAGAGTCTGGGGATACACAACGTACTTTCCAATAGGAAACATTTTTTATTGCCAGTCTTGTGAGGAGACTAGTCTTTGTACGTCATGCAAGCTTTTCCTTTTGAAATTGTGGACTTTTGTTGGACGCACGAATTAGAAAAAAATTACAATAAAAGTAAGATCAGACTGAAAACAGGAATTTATCTCCCCCCCCCAAAAAAAAGGATGTACGCACTGTGTGTCAAATCCGTCGAGTAAGAATGGATGGAGCATACAGTTTCACCCACCAGAGATCGGCTAAAAACTAAGACACCGAGTGAGACTAGAACTGAACGTCCAAATACTTTTTAATTGCATCGTCACGGGATGGCCTTTGGGAAATGAAAAACTGGGACATCGATATTTCACATCACTTTTATGGTTATTTCAATCTCCATTGACACCCAAAAACACTAATGCTCTACATGAAATATTTTTATTGGTTCATGGTTGTTCATGTTTCCCATCTCGGCCACGATTCGTCGTTCTAGAAGCAGTCGCTCTTGGGTTTTTGGCAGACGTGTGGCAAGCAGTCGTGGATGTTGGTCGCAACAGGCTGCCGTTAACAGCGCCACCTTGTGTCAGATCATAGCCACCACTTGCCATTTGTAACATAACCCTCGCTGTCGAAAAACAAGCCCAACAGCCCAAAGTGGGCAACAAAACTTGTACAATAACTTTTGCGTCGTTTTATGTTTAAGAATTATTAGAATCTCACAGTATGATAAACTCCTAATATGCTACGAAATGATGCATTTTTCCAAACAAAAGGAGGATAGAAACAACTAATGGCAGCAGTTAATAAGACGAGCGCATGAGCTAAAGCCAATTTCACGAAAAGATAAATTTTGAGCGATTTCTTGAAAATAGGCACTGACGCTGAGAGTTGTATTTGTTAGGGGAACTTGTTACACTCCCTTGGACCAGCAATCAAGAATGGTTTGTCACGTGTGGTTTTAGTATGTCTACGTGTAGGGAATTATCGGTTAGTGACTATAAGCCCTATCCTACCTGATTGATATAGGATGAGTAAATCGGTCAGACAAGGAGGAGCCACTCTATGTGTGGATTTGTAGCCTACATATGCAGAAGCAATTTGAATAGAATGTGGAATTCAGTGGGCGGCCAATGTAGTTGATGAATAAGATGCAACACATTTCGGGAAAGGGATGTAGCATTTTACTTCTGAAACCATCTGCTTAATACCTTTAACAGAAGCTTCAAACAATTTGATGCATCAATCAATTGTTATCATTACTCCCAAAGCTAAAACTAAAGGAGCAGTTCATGACGAAACCGCTGAACTGAACAGCAACGAAGGATGACATCGAGATGGTTGCTGTATTTCCTGCAGTGGGGTGGCAGTCAGCAACGTCAGTCAGGATGAGAGACACGTTGTAGGTCATGTTGGGGACGTACTCACACGGGCCGCAGCTGTTCTTATCCGGGCAGTGTTCGTCGGGCGTGCACCAGCCGTACACGCCCACGTAGTAGTGGCCGGGCTTGACGTCGGGGTCGTCGTGACGTAGGTAGACGCTGCGACGGTAGATGGAGGCCAGCTTCCAAGAGTGGTCGTTGATGGATGGCTGGACGATGGACCGCGACACCAGGAGTTCCGGGTACCCGTAGGAGTCCGGGCAGTCTGCCCCACTGAGGCAGTTCTCCAGCTTGACCTCCACATTGGCGCATTTCTGTGGCAGACAAAAGCGGTAATAGTTGTAGCCCTGGGCAACGACCCTCCCGTCTCTGATCGGCGAGTTCACGGTGATCTCATCATGTGGGTGGCTGGTCGGCACGCTCTCGGCAAGAATCGTAAATTTAGATGCTGGGGAACAAACAAAAAACGAAATGCAAAACAATGAGTGGGTATAGAAACCATTTTCACTTCTATCTTTTCAGGAAATTTAGCTAACCCTCCTCGCAATCAAAAAGTTTCCCTGGGCTGAAAAGATTTCAGAGCGTTTCAGCGTCAGTGCCAGTCAGTTTGTATTCATAGATCAAGTTTTAGCCTTGACATTTTATAGGACGATAAACAGTTAGAGTACGTAAGATAATCAAATTACTTCATAGTAAAGAAACGATATGAAAACTTATGCCCTACGTGTATGGCCTGTTCCTACGTCACTTCCACAGTAGGCGTGAACACCAATGTAGAAGGGGCCCACTTCAAACTCCGGGTCCCAACTCGATACGGTGAGGTCCTCTGAACCCCAGTTGTAAGAAGTCCACGTCAAGCTCTTGTCGGTGGGGAACTTGTCGTTTCCCCTGGAGATGTACAAATCTGGCTCTCCTTGAATAGCTTGAATCTGGGTACGAGGAGAAAAAAACATTCATCACACTCCAGTTAGAACTTGTTGTATGAGCATTACACAAGTATAGCGATTTGCAGCCAGACGACGCGGATGGTCAAGGCGTATACAAGTGATGAGGTCCCACCCATAACCAAATGACCCTTTGATATTTAAGCAGAGTCCTGTCCATAACAGAAGGGCCTACTTTACTTGACGTTATTACCACGAGCAAAGGCTAGGGTTGCTATCACTGTCATATACAACAGCAAATATGATTCCGTACACTTGTCCAAAGTTTCCATGTATTTGCCTAATTTTCGAGTACGAAGGGGCCTCTTTTGCGGATAGCCCCGCCCACGGCAAAAGGGTCTCCAAGAAAACACCCATGGTCAAGCGATAAAGTCTAGTCCGCTTGTTATCCTGACCGATGCGAAGAATGCGTCACCTAATCTCCTGTATATTTTCTAGAACTTAAGATTATCACCTTCCAATTGACCACTGACACTGGGACCTCTCTCTACAACTACTCTCGGCAACTTTTCTCTCTGAAACTACAAACTTTACAGAAGTCTTATTAGATGCGGAAAACAAGTCAGACACCCCCGCCTAAAAGGTTCAGGGAACAATTTGTAGTAAATCCCACGATGTAGGACAACTGGGTGTATTGACCGCTTGAGCTGGACCAATGGGAAGGGATGTTTATCACAAGGTCAAGAAGCAGCGAGCGAGATTGACGACCACACAGAGAAATGGGGTGACACACTCTCATTGAGAGCTGTGATTTTGAAACTTTTGTCCATGGTTACTGTGAAATAACATTTTGCAAAGACATGGCTCACTGATCGTGAACATGGAAATTGTCCAATAACTTACCCTCACTCGCAAGTCTTTGCATGGATCGGTCACCTCCACGGAGAAATACCTGAATTCTCCACATGGGACTTCGTAAAGCCCCGACTCAACATTCAATGTGAGCGGTACATGCTTCTGTCCCTCCACAGACAGAGCGTTACGCTTTTCTGGGTTAGGATTGCAGTCAGCGACATCCGTCATGATGATGGATACACTGTAGGCCATGTTGGCGACATACTCACAGGGCCCACACGTGCTCTTGTCGGGGCAATTTTCGTCGGGCGTGCACCAGCCGTACACGCCCACGAAGTAGTGGCCGGGCTTGACGTCGGGGTCGTCGTGACGTAGGTAGACGCTGCGACGAGTCACAGTGGCCAGCTTCCAAGAGTGGTCGTTGATGGATGGCCGGACGATGGACCGCGATACCAGGAGTTCCGGGTACCCGTAGGAGTCCGGGCAGTCTGCTCCACTGAGGCAGTTCTCCAGCTTGACCTCCACATTGGCGCATTTGTGTGGCAGACAAAAGCGGTAATAGTTGTAGCCCTGGGCATCAACCCTCCCATCTCTGATGGGTGAGCCAGCGGTGATCTCTGGGTGCATGTGGCTGGTTGCCAAACTCTCTGCAAGAACTTTAACCTTAGATGCTGACAGTACAAAGAATTAAAAGAAGCTGAATTGAAAATACAGGTAGGCCCAGACGTTATTCAATGAATGACGATCTTACAACTGGCATCAACTTTTGAAATAACCGTGCCTTCAATGCCTGGTAGCTCAGGCCAAGAACCCAGTTCTGCTTCCAAGTTTGCAGAATATGTAGGAAATACGTACCAGTATATACATATTTTTATTCCCTTTTTTAAAGACAGATTCAATAAGCAGCTACACAAATTAACACTGAGAGAGGCCACGTGGTACATGTATTTGTTTCGAGTGAAATGAACAAATTTGATTACAGGCAACTGATATGGTTGTCTAGTTTATACTGCTCAGCATGTATGGTATACTGTTTGTATGACAGGGTCAATATTGCCTTACTGATAATAGCAAACAGGGGTGACTCAAACCAAAAATATGTTTGTGATGTCAAAGCAATAACTCTGAACATGTTAAGAGTGGCCCACAAAAACAACGAACCAGGATTAGTTGAGTCATCCTGACAGAGGCAAAGCACAAACGACACTGTTGATGAACATCATTTTCACTCAATATTCGGCATGTTTCTCATCAGTGCTGCTTTCTCTTTCCATGTACTGTACGTTCTTAAAGAAAGAATCTCTCTTTTTCGATACATGTTACAACGCATTTCGAAATGTATAATTCACTCACATGAGAGGCGACAAAAATTGGCAGTCTGTTTTCCACCATTTTAAACCAGAGCTGAACCAACTCTAACCTTCGGTTCGATATTCCATACGGTTTTTTCGGTTTTTCGGTATTTTTAGATCACCAGTCTGATTTCTCAATGAAAAAAACACACACCACAATGCGGTAATATCGAAATAATGTCCAAGCTTACAATACATCAATACAGGGGAAAAATCGACAGGCCCATACTACGTGGAACTGTTCACAACAAGCCCTGTACCCAGGCAGTTTATGAATTCTCCCAAGGTACATTTCCCTGAGATTCCATTTTCGTGAAATTTCTGTCTCTACTTTTTAATCTTAGCAATGCATTTATTTAACACGCCGATTCACTCCTGACCACTGAATACAAGATAAATACAGGGGGATCTTTTGGTCAGGCAGCTATATATCGACAACACTTTCCAAAAAATCCAGTACATGAATCTTTCATTAAAAAACCTTGATATGAATTACTTACAGGTGTTGCCTGTGTGAACGTCGATCCCACAGTAGGCGTGAACGCCAATGTAGAACGTGCCCACTTCAAATTCTGGGTCCCAACTGGATACGGTGAGGTTCTCTGAGCCCCATTCATAGGAACTCCAGGCCAAGGTGTTGTCAGTGGGGAACATGTTGTTACCCCGGCCAATGTACACGTCGGGCTCTCCCTCAATCTTGGTCACCTGACACACAGGAAAAACAGCCTCTGAGTCATACTGTTGAATCGAAGTTCACAACTACTAGAAAAACTGTACTGGATTGGTCAAATGAAAATTACAATATGGGGGTTGGGTCCTACAGTGGACTCCTGGCTTAACTGCTGAAAGCTTTGATTGATTGTCAAATAGTTGAATATTTCTTTTCAACAATATTCCAAGGTGAAAACTTTAAGAAGACAAAAATTTAATTTTCTTTTTTAAAAAAACGCCTTCAAAAAGAGTATTTCTGGACTTTTTGAGTAAGCTTAAAGGTACATGTAGCTGACGCACATGACCAACAGGAAGGCCGAAATTTACTTGGAACCATTTAATGACATCACTGGTTGTGTACTTGCGAACCGTTCTGATGTGTAACCTTTATACAAAGACAACAAAAATACATGTATAATAAACAGGAAAAGAGAACTGGTTATTTTTTCTCTCTTTCAATTGTTAGTCTGACACTTTTGTCCAAGATGATGTCACATAATATTGCAAACAGATATATTCATGAGATGTGGATCACTGCTCATGAATATGGAAATTCCCCGATAGCTTACCATCACTCGCAAGTCCTTGCACGGATCGGTCACCTCCACGGAGAAATACCTGAACCCTCCACATGGTACGTCTTGCAGACCTGACTCCACGTTCAGTGTGAGTGGTATGTGCTCCTGTCCCTGCGCAGACAGAGCATGGCCGATGACTCCCAACAGGGCAACCAGAGCGAGCTGTGACATGATGTGACTGCAAATAGGTACTGCGTGTCTTGTTTGTGATGTGTCAGCTGAACGCAAAGGAGCACTCTAAAATTACAAATTAGCCAAAGATACCTGAATTAAGTTTTTAGATTTTGTCGCATCTCAATCTTCATCTTGAATCGTTAGTGTTGTTCGCACGGTGTACACTAAATTGCCATGCTTTACGGTCGCTGTGCGGTCTGCCAGCGTGCACTCACTCGTTGACGTTGCCCTTTTCTATAGATTTTTCATTTTAATTAATGTCCGTCCTCTACCTTAGTACTGTTAACCGTATTCAGAATTATTGTGGTGATCTATGAAGTCCTATCACCTTTGTTCGTAGCACTTTATTGGTAATTCTACGATGTACTAGCTAGTTGATCACGCAGTATATTTCCTTTCTGTAACACTGTTTTTATTTAGAAACAGCAATGTCATCAACTCACGCGCCATATTCCAGGTGTATTGGTATATTCATGGGAACAATAGTGATCCGTCGTCCCGTTAATGTCATTATGGATGCACAATGTCATTGTTTAGTCTTTGTTCCAGTCGGATCAGTATTTGAAACTCCTCAATGATTACTACTGTTTTAATGCCTTTATGGTTTTAAAAAGCATTTTTTATGTAACTTAACAGGAAAGATGACTTACAGCCCACAGTAGTCGACACACTGTCATTGTGCATTAAATTATAAACTCTTTAGCAAGTAATTCATTCACGTAATTTAACAGTCTGCTCATACACTTTTTGAAAGTTTTATTTTCTTGTTTACAGGAATCATACACAGTTGTTGAATGTTTTTCGTAATTGACTGAACACTGTTATGAACGATTATTAAATGAGGAAATTGCAACATCGTTTCAAACTTTGTGATTTCGTGACATCTCAGGTTGCACGTACAGGTATAAATTTGATCAATACACTAGAACTGGGTACCCAAGTGCCCAGCTGTTCACATCTAGAACAGGTTCCAAATTACGAAACTAGGTTCTCGTAACATTTAAAACTACTCAGTAACCTGTCAGATAATAAAAAAGAAATGTTTTCAAGTTTGTTGTTGAAAAATTTTTAAACAAAAACCAGTTCATATCCATCGGTATTAACTGCTAACAGCAGCTCATGTGTTCTCGCTTAATACAGACAGCGCAGATGTAAACCAGTGATTTTATTACCATTTTGAGCAAAATAAAATGGATGCCTAAATTTCCTGTCATTGGTTACCTGGCCACCAATGTGTGGCCAGTCAATTTCGTTGAAGAAGTCCGTTCACATGCGCAGCATGTTTTGTGGGGATCATAACGAGGGCAATCTAATATCAAGGTTGGGAACCCGACAAGGAGTTATGCTTGATTTGTATTAGTCTCTGTCCTGTATGTCCTTCTCTGCCAGCAATTTCAAGTGTTTCGTTTTGATTTTTTCTAAAGCCTACATTGATTGTCGAAAGGTTATCACATTGGCAAAGAAATTCTAATCATATGAAAACAATCTGCATGTACATTTGAAAATAACTTGACCCACCAGTATAACAATGCAATGCAATAAACACAAGGTACGGGCACTGGCAGGTCAAAGACCAAAGTTTCAAGGTGGCCTTTGTCTTTCTGAGGGAGCGAGGACGCTACATTTTGAGGATTTTTACATTTATATGCTTTTAGAAGGGAAGGAAATGAAACTCATTGAAATAAAACTGTCCTCCTTTTAATATTTTTAAAAACAAAAATTTGGGCTACTTTTGGTGCCCGTTGCTAAAGTTCCTACAGAAGTTGGCCTTGGCCATGTCATTTAATTGTGTCCCCACTTACCGGTAACTCACTATGGCTAAACATCCAAATAAATGGATAAATGGAAAAGCCTTGGAATATCAGCTTTGTATCTTCACGTGTGTACATACATGTACATGTACAAAAAGCCCATGTACTGTATACCTACGGAGTGGCTCTTTTGTATACAAGGCTACTAAAATTCTTATTTCCAAACAACGGTACTCAGTGAGTTGATAAGCATGAAGTAACATGCACTGATGTACATTGGTATGTAGAATACTATACCCCCATCGACTAACAACGTTAAAAGCAAGTTGATACCTATTACCAGTTTTACATAATAAGCCCACATCCGTTTCGACCGGAAGGGTCACGTGATTTGACCCATACGAGATGAATTGAAGACTCAATTTTACTCTGGCAAGTGCCGCAAACAAAATGCTGCAGGAGACCATGTTTGATTTTATGTGGATTTTACAACATTAATATAATATATAAATATTGAAAATTGAATAATAAATCACTTGTTGACGTCCTCATGACGTAATTATTTTAGTATTATCTTTGCTGTGAGGTCTTTTCTTTGTGTAACTTTGAGGACGACTGAAGATCACTAAGTTACCAAAATTGGGCCTTGAAAACGTGTACAAAGTCAATTGGCTGAAAAAAAATTTAAAATCTATTTAAAAATCACTTGATGACGTCACCATGACGTCATTGTTCTGTGCACATCTGTACACTAAGGTCCTTCAATTGTGTAAGTTCAATCAAGATCCAACGTTGTAAAAGGACCAAAGTCGATGGTGGAAGACACGTGCACAAAACAAAAGGGCTTTTGGTCAGAAGAGGAAGAAGCAGGAAAAAAAGACAGAACAAAAAGAATGACTTTTTCGCAAAATTGCGAAAAGCTAAAAAAACGAATAAAAGGAAAGCCCTTTTCGCAAAATCGGGAAAAAGCCAAAGAAGAAGAGGGAAGGAAAAACAGAACAAAAAGAATGCCTTTTTTGCCAACTTGCGAGAAAGCAAAAAATCAGAACAAAAAGAATGCTTTTTCGCAAAAAGCGAAAAGCCAAATACGGCAATACCAGCAGAATATAATTTTTACTTGTGAATGAAAATGAAATAATCAGTGGGGGGGGCATACGTTTTACCTGATTTAGGTTAGAACAGATGAATTGTGTCAAGTGTGCTCTGGAAACACCCATAAAAATGGAGAAGTTTTCTAAAAAAAATTGTTAAGTGGTATCTTTGGCCAGCATTTTATACAACGGCACCGTTGACTACTGTGCAGGGACTGAACAATGTCACAACGGAGGTACGGTGATGGCGCCCTAGCTCTGGGGGAGGGACAGCAGTCCAGGGGTAGTACTGAGTACGTGGGCTCTGCGTTTATGGGGCAAGGTGTAAACGTTACGCCAGGTAGGTAACAACTTACCACATAAAGTGAAGCGCACCGAAGGCCTATCTGTACGAGTATTAGGCTAGTACTAGGGCCTAATGCTTCACTTCAAGCGCAGATTTGCCCAGAATCGGAGAATCCTGCAGGCTTTCGCTGGTCTTCTTTAGTTGTGGTTATCCCAGTCAAGATTTACATTCGGCCAAATATGACACTTTTAGCAACAATGATACCAGGTTCCTCACATAAATGTCACCACTTGATCTGCCCTTATTTTATATGCATGATTTTGTCTCTGATTACAAATGCGCATGTGTGTTCGTGTACGTGTACCACGAGCGATGCATTGCTTGGCTCGATTTCAAAAAGACTTCACTAGACTTGATATCAAGTCCTTCGGCCAGAGCAGTACAACAACCACACAGCGCTTCCACGACGCGGCCAAGCCCTCTGCAGGCTATTTTGCGTCGTGACAGTTATGAAGTTATTAGAGTTATTATAAGAACCAATGGGGCTTGTGGCTCAATTGCAGCAGGGTAAGGCAGGTTTATGAGCTTGAGGGTAACAACCATATCTTTCAGACCTAATAACACCACTTACAGCTATATTGTGCACCAAAACGTACTTCACTGTTAATATCCACACAACGCGAAACCGAAACATTAATTCACCATAAAACATTACCTAATACCTATCGCGTATAGTTTGCGCAAGACACGGAATTGTCGAGGCTTTGCATACTCGAACGTGTTGTGGTTCATCGAGTCCGTTATTTTCGTGTAGCAAGGAAGTTCGAGGGGTGAACCCGTTGCCGAGAACAGATTTTTGTAAATCATCCCTAATTAATGGGCCCTGATAGGCTGTTCAATTTTCATCACACTGTTGATACGGATAATGTCGTCCAGCGGTATTGATAAAAATGGTGCTTAAAGAGAACACTATTGGCCTGATGGTGCTTTTATTTCGTCAGTTATTTTCTTGTGGCAATCGGGAGTTATTCCCCAAACTCAAAAACTCAATACGTTTCAGAAATTAAGGGATCACTCCTCAATCTGCACTATCAGCGTGTGCGTGTCCCCATGTACAAGGTCCATAGCGGGACGGTCTCCCTTAAATCAGCATGTGGATCTGTAAGATCAAGAAGTTGATGTTTGGCTACATTTTGTTGTATTTTGCTGGCGATCATTTCTCATTCGGCGTCAGCCATGCGCTTGCTATTCGGAAAAAAATCACCGAAGACCTCACAGGTCCATAATACACAGGAGTGTGGGTTGCGCCACGGAGAACATACTTGGCTACCTCCATCATGCCCGCTTTCCTGCGCTGTGTTGTCTCTGTGATACAGGTTTATACTAGGGGGAAGGGCGTGTGCAACCCAACCGCCCCCCCGACTACGCAGCTGCTTCAAAGAAGGGACCAGTTGAGTTTACATTCATGAGCACGTGCTGAACACGGATCTCAAAATGCACAGACGTCATATAAAAATATCTTCAGAACGGTTTGCCCTTGCATCTCTCAAATTACACTTTGGAAAACAATCTGGACTCGCAATGCTTTTGTACCGACTGAAGCCACCGCCGTGCCGAATAAAGAGGTGATCATTGCGTTTCGCGCTGCTGTAAATATTTTTGGCACAATGCAGTTAAATAAGCCTTTGTGTTACCGTTATAATTATTCAGCATGGTAAGATGGCCGCCGGTGGCTTCAATAATCTATGCAGACCGATTAAGGGCACCACATCTAGGCTAATATTCATTCCAATGCCAAAATGTTCCGAAATCGGCCCCAGTGTTGTCAATATCGATGAACATTTGGAGTATAATTTGCCAATTTCCCCAAATGCATCACAACCCAAAAAACAGTTTATTATTTTGCATATTGATTCCCACCAAAGTGCAACTTTAATTCTACTGTTTGGAAATCGGGACGTCCATGCGCTACAACTAAAAACGAAGGGGGCATCTTATAGGAATAACGTCATACTCCTTTTAGCAGTCCATGGCTACTTGCTGTATATTGTCACAGCAAGGGATGAGCCTGACTCAAAATTAGCAGCGCCCCCCTTTAGTTTTAATAGACTTCACGAAGGAGTTTGGACAGTTGAAATAATTATACGGGGACCACTGCAATTAATTTGACGACATCACGACAGAATATTCGTTAATTACAGTTGCAACATGTTGCATCGAACCATTTCCTGGCTATTGGTACGCTGTGTTTGCGCTTGATAAGGATAACATACTGCTCACTCTGAGCGTGGAGTCTGGTCTTCAAAAAGTCCCATGTGGGGAGTTTAAGGTACTTTTCCGTAGAGGTCACTAATCTGTGCAAAGATCTGCGAGTGAGGGTAACCTGCATAGGGGATATTCCACATTCAGGACTAATGGACATTTCCATGTTCATTTATGTTACTTCACTTGGTCAGTTTTAGGCCACTGTTCTGTATTTTGTCTTTAATACATGCATTCGCAGAACATTCGGTCTTGAATTATGCAAGTCTTCTCTTGCATAATTTGCATCCAATTAGTACTTATGCCTGTAAACTTAGCGGTGAGTACTCAATAATACGGAGAATACTAAGTCGGAGTTGTTTAGGGGTGAGTTTTTCTGTGAATTGTTCTCAAATCACATATAACTAGAACTATCATTTGACCTGCCCATAATGCATGGCTCATGCCTACTTTGCCGTGCATTTGCCCATTTTGGAGTGATCACAGGTATAAACATCCTCAATTGTTTTTGCTGTAGGCTGCGTATGCCCACATTTTGGACTTTAATCCCGCTATCTTGGTGATTTGATTTGAATACGCCTTATATTGTAAACGTTGCTAACAATGACATTGCACCGCAGAAAAAAAAGGCCAGGTAAAATTTAAGAATCTGACACTCTCTGGTCATAGACCCCACTCATAGCTAATTTTTTCCCACAGGCACAAAGTACACCTTTGTGCGCTGAAGCTTTTGTTACGTCAGTTAACTGTAATTGTACGTACAAGTTCGACGACTATAGACACTGTGTTCCAGGAACAGGTAAACAAAAATAGGGGCAAAGGTAAACAAAGACAGAGGGAACACTGTTCCTTCTACCTTTGTTTACCTTTAAGTGAACATTGGCGTTAAGACCAAGCACCTACTTTTACCCGCGAAGACCTTTTTCTACAAAAACCCTTCAGAAATATGAAGATAATGAATGCTTTGCAGTCTCTGAAACGTCTGGTCCCGGTCAGGATGTAACACAAGAACATGACATTTGGCAAATCTGCACGTGCATGAACCATTAAGCAGCGGTTGTCTTTTGTTTGAACAGCCAATCTCACGTGCTCTTGTGATACATAAACGTGAAATGGGAGTTATCTATAAGATTTGAATTCCAGTTCGTTTGATCTTCGGACCTGGTCAGACTCCGACCACTTTGGGTCAGGTTACGGGTAACCGAGAAATTATATAAGGGTCTCAAAGCGAGAGACGGCGCAGGTTTAATTTTGCACCCTTGTGTTCACTGGATGTTCCTGTCATTGCTCAGACCGTCAAAGATGCATGGATTCGTTGGATATTCAGGGAGGAATACATGCATGTCATAACCGTCGAAACAGAATAATATCTAGTTGACATGAAATTGCGAAAAGTGGAGGATCAACCTCTAGCATGCATGTCTGAACTATCAGTCTGATCGAGCAGGTACAGTGACCGTAATCCTTTTGTGGAATGGTGTCTTGATATTTGGTTATGCAGTGCACACGGATTGCCAGTCAAATAAGCTACAGAGCATGAGTATTGTTAGGCTGACTCGTCAAATCCCGAAGCTCTGTTCCTCTAATAACACAGTTATGGTCGAATTGGTTATGGTATCGCATGTTTCTTCACGCGCGGTGAGCTCAAACTGCCCCTTTAACTTAAGTTGTTTACAACGAACAAATTGCAATTTGGGTTTCGTATTGTTCAAATACTAGATACTAGATAGACCTTCGTACCTTGTAACTTAATCCTTTGTCAAAATTATTCCTTGGTAAATCTGAAAGGGGATGGAACTTGTAATTTGTGTGAGAAAATTTAGAACTAAAGGTAACCTGGTATTTGGCCACAGGGAGATGGCCCATTGATATAAAATTTTACTGGTGATATTGCGTCTCATCAGCTTGGCCACAGACGCGTAAGAGCAAGAGCTCACCGACATTTGCACCATTGTGCTAGGCCAAGATCAAAGATCGTATAACGCCGAAGGCGCAAGATGGATAACTCTGCCCAAAAGGTGTAATTACCATGGGCACCATTTGAGCAAGCGATACGCCTGTGCAGTTTTCGGTAATGCTTCGGCGCAGGCTCACTAGGTGCACTCGCCTGCTGCGGCGCCTGCGCCTTTGCATTAATGCGCAGGCGTATCGCTTGCTCAAATGGCGCCCATACAATTACAACGTTTTACGTGTATTCACGGTGAAGTTCGCCATCTTGCGCGGCTACGCGGCGCTATACGATCTTTGGCCAAGATATTCATGGAGGCCTCCCAGCAGTTCATGCATATATTTGAAGCACGCAGCCAGTGTCCTATTTTCCTTCAGTTGACTCAACAGTGTTGGGCGTCTCTCAGTAATCAAAATAAAATAAAGAAGTGAAACATCAGTGAGTATGTGTCACCCCATTTCCCTGTGTGATCGTCAATCTCGCTCGCTGCTTCCCGACCTTGGGATAAACATCCCTTCCCTGTTGACCCAGCTCAGGTGGTCAATACACCCAGTTGTCCCCCATCGTGGGATTTACTGCAAATTGTTCCATGAACCTTTTAGGCGGGGGGTATCTGACTTGTTTCCGCATGTAATAAGACGTTTGTAAAGTTTGTACTCTGTAGTTTCAGAGAGAAAAGAGAGACCATGGTGGCAAAGAGAGGTCTCAGTGTCAATGGTCAATTGGAAGGCGGTAGTCTTAAGTTCCAGAGCATATACGGGAGATTGGGTGACGCATTCTTTGTCAAAGGTCAGAATAACAAGCGGATTAGGTTTTATCGCTTGACCATGGGTATTTTATTGGAGATTCTTTAGCCGTGGGCGGGGCTATCGGCAAAAGAAAAATTGGCAAAAACTGGAAAATTGAGCATGTACATAGGAACTTTGGACAAATGTACCGAATTATATTTGCCGTGGTATATAAGCCTGATAGCAACCCTTTGGTCGTGGTAAGTAATGGAGGGAGGGTCTGGCACACTTTGACCTAGAGAATGGAAAAGGCCATGAATATGCATAAGCATAATAATATGATATTGATACGAATAGGAATGAAAATGCGTTAAAAATTATGGTACAAGATGACCTAGGGAAAAATTGGAATAGCATATGGTCAGAAAGTCTAGTGTGAACTTTAGTATGGGATGAACGTGTCTATGGAAGGGTAGCGTAAAAACTCGGTACATATTGATCTTTCCTATAAAGTATGGTGCAACTGGATAAAACATGATTGTAACAAGAGGAGTGGTTTATAAATCTTGTTTATAGAGTTTTAGGTAGAAATTGAGGTAAACGAGCCAACATTTGTTTCCTCTTTTTCTGTCAAACCCCACTTTTGAATGTAGTGGACTATTCAAAACCAAATCTCTGTGGAGAATAGTACGTACAATACAAAGTTAAGTGAATTAAGAATTTTCGGGAACATTATGCTCCTTTGGCAGCCCGGAGATTGACCCCTGCTTCGGGATTCATCGGCCCCTGAGTCAAAGTTTTCACTGACCCAGGGAACAGGCAACAACCTGGACATCTGTCAAGGACATACAAGCTCAAAGGGCATGGCCATCACTGCCATCATTGTACTGATGGACGTGGTTCCTGATGGGACCTGAATATTTGACGGGTCGGGTTGTAAATCTTTTTCTTGTACGACCGTGGGGTGTACAATTAGGACTCTAATTACAATTTTATATACATACGGATACTGCCGATATTTAAGGAAACTGGTGGTTGAAATCAGAACAATAATAAGTATTGGAATCTAATTAATAATTACATTTTGTGGAATTACAGAAAGGGTTGACGATTTGATATTTTATTGGGTTTCTTTTAGCCCCAAACTTGTCTGCCCACCACCGTATTGTTTAGAACACTTCTAAACTTGTTGGTCTACTGTGGGGAAAATGGACCTATGGTGTGACAACGATAATAAATAGATGAGAGTCACCTGTTGCATGATGTCATGGAAAAATACTGACTGGCCTACAGGGAGGTCCTGATATAATCAAGGGGAATAAAGCAATAATCCCTAGACAAAGGGCCGTACGTGCTGTCGAACAATGACACAGATATTCCTTCCGATAAATAATGCACAGTACTTGGCGCCGGGTAATGGGGGATAATCTTTCGGACAATGGGCTGTACGCAACGCTGTGTGGGTTAGCGTGTACTTTGGAGTGAGCGTTGGTCCAACTTAATCCTCAGACGCTAATCGAGAGAGGGCGGGCGAATGCCAACGATCTTGCGTTAGGCTTAAATTAAATTAGGCTAATTGCTATGGTTATGGAGATCTGATCAATACCGGAAGAAGACCCGGCTGGCCCTGGCTGAATTTCTTAATCCTTTGAATTAGAATGTTTTACGTCCCGTTTCCCTGTACATGTATAGGGTTTTGGCTCTGGCTGAATTTCTGATCTTTTGAACTGGTGTTTACGTCCGGTTACCCTGTACATGAATACGGTTTTATAAATTCAACCAGAGTGGAGTGTTACTGTTGGTTTTTATTGTGGAGTAAATGTAAAATATCATTATATACACATTATCAATGAGCGTGGGTGGTATAACGTCAGTTCGGATTTTTAACACTTGGTAAAGGGGCAAATTTACCCATCGTGCTATGGAATAATGTGCTGAAGTTCCCGAACGGTATCCGACCCGATAATTATTACTCTATCGTCATACGGGTCAGTCACAAAACAAATTCAGTAGACTTTACATACTGGTTTCAGTACTGTTTTTATTTCCGTTGCTCACAATTGATATTTTACAGTAATTATCATAGTAAATAGAGAATTACCTCAAGAGTGGTTACCGGAAGTTTATTAAATTTTAAATCAGAGGCATTACATGTACCCATTCTTTTTGGAACCATTTGTGTCTTCGATTGTTTTCTTTTAGGCATTCTCCTCTTCGTCATTTAGCTAAAAGAGCCCGGCAAGTTTATCAGCATGTCTAGGCAAAACTCTATTGAAGGCTTTGTTGACTTTCATGCCTTTATCAAGTTTTTCCTCGAGAACATCCACAATGTCCCTGTGAATTTCATTATCCCACAAGTATAGGTAACTTGACAGAAACTCCTTATAGCTGTCGAAAAAGCCTTGCTTGACTACCCAGGGGGTCTTTCTGTTTGCCTTTTCCCTGGCTTCATCTTCATCCATGCCTTCGTCGACCTACTTGTCATATTTTTTATCCCTCATCTCTCTATTTGTCTCTCTGGCTTCAGCCAGCAAATCTTGGTAGGTGGCATTGTCTTCCAATTCTGAACTGTCTTCATCCAAGGTTTCGTCATCAACCTTCTCAACAGGTTCCGAATCATCGTCAACTTCATTCATGTCTGATTCCTCCCAATTGTAGATATTTTCCACGTGCCTCTCTAGATTAGACTTCCGTCCCAAACACTGGTGACAAGCACAGGGCTTGACTGCTGAAATAACAGTCATGTTGGCCCTTGGAAGGATGACCTTTAAATGACACGAAACAAATGAAATCGTTCAATATATAATGCATATAAAGGTGTATCTCACTGCTCGTGATTTGCTTATTTCATTGTTTATTTTACTTGTTTCATTGCTCTTTTACTCATTTCATTGCTCTTTTACTCATTCCAGTGCTCTTTAACTCATTTGGATTGCTCTTTCACTCATTTGCATTTTCTGTTACTCATTTCATTGCTCTATTACTCATTCCATTGCTCTTTTACTCATTCCATTGTTCTGTTAGTCATTTGCATTGCTCTTTTACTCATTTCCCTTTCTCTTTTACTCATTTCATTGTTCATTTTGCTCTCTCATTGTTCACTTTCCTCTTTTCACTGTTCTTTTATTTTCATTTACAGTTAAACTCTATTTGATCGCGTTCCTTTAAAAGATCGAAAGCGAGTTCACTGAGCTGTAACTCTTATACCTCTGTACAAAGGAAATGATGTGTTATTAATGAACCATTAAACATCGACGAACTGAACCACGCTATTGAGGCTTCCAAACGCACGACACCCGGTAAAGAAAATATTAACAACATTTTCCCTTGAAAATCAGAGAATACCTATTTATCTTCAACATAGTTTGGCACGCTTCTCAATGTCCAAAACAGTGGAAAGATACGATCCTCATTCCTATTCTAAAACAGGGAAAGACGCCACCAACCCATTGTCGCCCTATCCGGTTTGTAAGTGTGACGTCACTTCAGTTTAAACCACGTCCGCTGCACAAGCACTACACATAGAGTTACATGCTTTGATCACCGTTTATATGGAACCGGAAGTTAACGCGAAACTTCTGCAATCGTCCAATGGGAGCCTGCTAATCGTGGTGCGTCCACCTTTTTACAAAGTCACGAATCGGATAGCTCGCACCTCGATACCGTGCACGATATGGGGCCGATGGGTACCCCCCCCCCACATGTCCAATCCCTATACACATTCTAGACTATTGTTACCTAACACATATCCCTAGTATAGTCTGTAAAGAATTCCTGTGATTCCCATCAAACAATGACCAACACAAAGGCGGGGGGGGTTCTCTCCGCCCCATATCTTGCATCTTTATGCTCACCTCCACTCTACATTTGAAGCAAGATATGGGACGGAAAGAACCCCCCCCCCGCCTTTGTGTTGGTTATTGTTTGATCGGAATCTAAGGAATTCTTTACAGACTTCTATGGGGCATGTGTTAGGTAACAATAGTCCAGAGTGTGTATAGGGATTGGACAGGTAAGGGGGGTACCCCTCCGTCCCATATCTTGCCTGGTATACCACTCTGTCCAAATTAATGGAACGCATGGTTAACTCTCACCTGCTCTGGTTCATAGAAACTCACAACCTTTTCAGTCAGCAACAGAGCAGGTTCCGGAAAGGACGAAGTACAAGAGATCACATTCTTCACCTCCAATCAGATATCAACAAAGCCCAGGCGGTATTCCTTGACATCGAAAAAGCGTACATGTTATGGCGCTAAGGGGTTATCNTTTATGGGAGAATTACTCGCTGGATTGATAATTTCCTTTGTGGTAGGAATATTCAAGTAAAAACCAGCAATTCTCTTTCCACTGAAAGGATACTAGAAAACGGTGTTCCCCAAGGCAGCGTAATCAGCCCGCCTCTTTTTTAACACTGCAGTTAATGATCTTTCCAAAATCCTGCCTTATGTCAAAATCTCTCAGTATGCAGCCGACATAGCTATTTGGAAATACACAACGCACTTTCCCATAGGAAACATTTTGTTTATTGCCAGTCTTCAGACTAGTCTTCATACCTCATGCAAGCTTTTCCTGTTGAAATTGTGGACTTTTGTCCCCTTCGGAAAAAGTTCTTCAGGAGCACGACTTAGAAAGACTTTACAATAAAAGTAGGATCAGGCTGAAAACAGGAATTTATCTCCCCCAAAAAGGATTTTTGAGTAAGAATGGAAGGAGAATACAATTTTATTCACCAGATATCGGCTAAAAAATAAGACACTGAGTAAGCCTAAAACTGAAACACCGAATACTTTTTAATTGGATCGTCATGGGTTGGCCTGTAGGAAATGACATGCGGTAACATTAATATTTCACATCACTGTCATGGTTATTTCAATCTCCTTTGACACCTAAAACACTAATGCTCTACATGAAGTGTTTTTCATTGGTTCATGTTTCCCATCCCAGCCGCAATTCGTCGTTCTTGATTTTTGGCAGACTGTAGCAAGGTGTCGGCCATCGTGGATGTCAGTCACAACAGGCTATTGTGAACAGCGCCACCTTGTGTCAGATCATAGCCACCACTTGCCATTTGTAACATTGTCCCTCGCTGTCGAGAAACAAGCCCATCAGCCCAAACGGGCAACAAAACTTTTACCATAAATTTTGCGTCGTTTTATGTTTTAGATTTATAAGAATCTCACAGTATGATTAACTCCTCGCATCTGCTTCGGAATGGCGAATTTTTCAAAACAATAGCTGTAATAACAATAAAGTATTTGTGAAGCGGTTCTAACAATGATCAAAACGTACGATAGCGACAACTACTGGCAGTATAGTTACAAAGACGAGCATGATGAGGTTAAGTTGATTGAATGAAAAGATGAGTTTTTAGCGATTTCTTGAAAAAAAGACACTAATAATGAGAGTCGAGTTTGTAGGGGAGCTTGTTCTACTCCCTTGGACCAGCAACGGAGAATGGTTTGTTGCCTATGGTTCCTAGTAGGCCTACGTCTACATTCCCTAAGCAGGAATTATCGGTTGGCGACCTAAGCGGTTGTCCTACCAGATTGATGTAGGATGAGTAAATCGGTCAGACAAGGAGGAGCCACTCTATGTGTAGATTTGTATACATGCAGAAGCAATTGGAATAGAATGCGGGATTCAATGGGCAGCCAATGTAGTTGATGAATAAGATGCAACATTTCGGGAAAGGGATGAAGCATTTTACATCTGAAGCTATCCGCTTTACCTTTCATAAAAGCTTTAAAGTTCGAACAATTTGTTTCATCACTCAATTTTATCATTAATCCTACAGATAAAGCTAAAAATAAAGGAACAAATGCATGACGAAAGCACTGACGTGAACAGCAACAAAGGATGGCACCAAGATGGTTGCTGTATTTCCTGCAGTGGGGTCGCAGTCAGCAACGTCAGTCAGGATGAGAGACACGTTGTAGGTCACGTTGGGGACGTACTCACACGGGCCGCAGCTGTTCTTATCCGGGCAGTGTTCATCGGGTGTGCACCAGCCGTACACGCCCACGTAGTGGTGGCCGGGCTGGACGTCGGGGTCGTCGTGACGTAGGTAGACGCTTCGACGAGTCACGGTGGCTAGCTTCCACGAGTGGTCTTTGACGGTTGGCCGGACGATGGACCGCGACACCAGGAGTTCCGGGTACCCGTAGGAGTCTGGGCAGTCTGCTCCACTGAGGCAGTTCTCCAGCTTGACCTCCACGTCAGCGCATTTGCGCGGCAAACAGAACCGGTAATAATTGTAGCCCTCAGCATCGACTCTCCCATCTATGATCGGCGAGTTCACGGTAATCTCATCATGTGGGTGGTTGGTCGGCACGCTCTCGGCAATAATCGTAAATTTAGATGCTAGGGAATACAGAAAGAAACGACAAACAAAACATGTGGGTTTTACTTGGATAATTTGAGTGAGTTTAGAAACTATTTGAAAGAAAGCACCGTCTGCGCTTTCATCTTTTCAGGAAATGTAACTAACCATCTTTGCAGTCAAAGGTTTCCCTAGGCTGAGAAGATATTTCAGTGCATTTCCGGGTGCCAGTCAATTTTCATTCACTATTTCATAGCATAGAGCAAGGAGCTGTTTTACTACCGCGATAACTCACATGGTACCGTTGAAGTTGAGGGAGATGTGACTCCTGTTCCTTGCTCTATGTTCATTGTAAAAGAAATAATGAAAAATGATGCCCTACGTGTATCGCCTGTTCCCACGTCACTTCCGCAGTAGGCGTGAACACCAACGTAGAAGGGACCAACTTCAAATTCCGGGTCCCAACTCAATACGGTGAGGTCCTCTGAACCCCAGTTGTAGGAAGTCCACGTTAAGCTGTTGTCGGTAGGAAACTTTTCGTTGCCCCTTGAAATGTACAAATTTGGCTCTCCTTGAGTAGCTTGAATCTAAGTATGAGGAAGAAACCTTTCATTGCACTCCAATTGGAGATAGCAGGTTGAGCACACGGACGTAGCTATGTTCTACATGATTATTTAAGACCTCACCAACTACCTAAATTATTTGAGGCTTTACGAGGCGAATGGTTGAGGTGTACCAGTGATGAGGTCACACCCATAACCAATTACACAAAGTCCATCCTTTTATCGAGATATCTTCTTTAGAAAAGTCCTTGTCATGACTGAGGGGCCCCCTTTACTTGAGGTTACATGTATTACCATGACCAAAAGGCTGCACCGGTGTTATGCATGCCACGGCAAAGATACTATTCCGTTTACCTGTGCCCAAGGCTCCATTATGTGCTCGTCAAAAGTTTTCAATACCAATGGGCCTCTTTCACAGATGGATCCATCCACGGCCAAGGGGGTTTCCAATAAATGCCCATGGTCAAGCGATATAGCCCATTTAATATGTAATCCTGACCTATGACAAAGATTAAACATCACCCAAACTATTCCCTAAAACTTAAGAATTATCTTCCAGTTGACCTCCGACAAGCCATTCAGAACTCTCTGTAACACAGGTCTCCTTGCTCTCTAAAACCTCAAACTACAAACTTTACAAAAGTCTTACATGCAGAAACAAGTCAGACAATCCCGCCCAAAAGTTTCAAGGAACATTCTGTTAGAGTCACATGGACAGCGTGGGGATTTGACGAGTCAGATAAACATGGCCTGCAGCTCATCAAGTTGATTTGCAACACAGGTGCACTGCATAACCAGATAGCACAACACCATTCCACAAAAGGATTAACGGTCACTTTAACCTCCTCGATCAGACTGATAGCTCAAACATACTAGAGGTTGATCCTCCACTTTCGCAATTTTATGTCAAGTAGATATTCTGTCTCTACAGTCATTATATATATTCCTCCCTTATTGGCCAACGAATCCAGGCACCTTTGACGGTCTGAGTTCACCCACTGGAACACCCATTGAACACAAGGGTGCAAATCAAACCTGTGCCGCCATTCGCTTAGATACCTTTACATACTTTCTAAGTTACCTGACCCAAAGTCGTCGGAATCTCCAGGTCAGGGAATCAAAGTACCCGGATTTTAAGTCATATAAATTAACCCCATTTCTTGATTTCATGACAGTATCATAAGTGCACGATATTTGAGAATGACTGGTCAAACAAAAGACAATCTCAGCTTCGTTCATGCGCCCTCAGGGGTTGAGAATAGCCAATGGTCACATTTTTCAAGTTGTGTTACATTCTGACCGGGACAAGAGGTTTCTAAGCCGACTGCAAAGAATTCAATGTCTTCATTTTTTCTGAAGGTCTTTTATTGAAAACAGTCTTCGGAGGTAAAAGATGGCGTTTGGTCTTAATGGGAATGTTGTCTGAAAGGAAAATATAGAGGAAACACTGTGTCTACTCTAACCTCGAACTTTAAAACGAGCGCACAAACGTGTACATCGTGGGCTTGGGAAAAAAGTCATGCTTTCTGATTAGCTATGCGTGGGGCCGGTGCCTATGACCAGATAATGTCAGGTTCTTAGATTTTCCAAGCCGTGTTTTTTTTCTGCGGTGCAATGTCATTGTTGTTATCAAGTTAGCAATGTTTACAATACAAGGTGTAATTCAATTCAAACCACCAAGATTAAAGTCCAAGTCCAAAGTGTGGGCATCGCAGCAAGCGAAGGCAGCTGAGGACGTTTACACTGTGATCTCTCCAAAATGGGCAAATGCACGGCAAAGTTTGCATCAGTCATGACTTGACGGTATTAAGGGCAGGTCAATGATGATTCCGTTTATAATGCTTTGCAAAGATCAATTCACAGAAAAACTCACTCCAATACAATCCCGACTTCGTTTTCTCTCCTTGTGATTTGTTAAGTTGTTCATTCGCAGACGTAAATACTAATTTGATGTAAATTATGCAGAGAAGTTACTTGCATATGCATATTCGTACTGTATATATTGAAGACCAAAGACAAAATATAGAACAATGTCCCCAAAATTATCAAGGACGTCACGTGTTCCTAAATAAATAAACATGGAACGTCCTTTGGTCTTGAATGTGGAAATTCCCCTATAAAGTGCAGCTTACCCTCACTCGCAGATCTTTGCACGGATCATTCACTTCTACGGAAAAGTACTTAAACTCTCCACATGGGACTTCGTGAAGACCGGACTCCACGTTCAGGGTGAGCGGTATGTGCTCCCTTTCCAGAGCAAACACAGCGCTGATCATAACCAATAGCCAGGAAAAGGTTTGATGCGACATTATCCAACTGCAGTTAACGAATATCTGGCTTAATGTCGTCAACTGAATGCACATCCGCCCAAATTGATTGCAGTGGTATAATTATTTCAATTGTCCAACTTTATTCCTTTAGGAAGTCTATTAGAGATAAAGCGAGGGCGCTGTACTATTTTGGGTCAGGCTGGTTCCCTGCCGGGACAATGGACTGCAGAAAAGAGTACTGACGTCATTTCTAAGATGCCCCCTTCATTTTTAGTTGCAGAACGTGGACGTCCTGGTTTCCAAATAGAATAATCAAAGTTGTGCATTAGTTGAGATCAACATGCAAAATAACAAAACCGATTTTGGATTGTGGGGCATTTTGAGGGACTTTGCAAAGAAAAGCAATATCTATACTCCAAATATTCATCAATATTGGCAACACTGCTCAAAAATCAACGCAATTGGTTTTGAAATTTGTTGGTCAATTTTGGAACATTTTAGAATTGGAATGAATTTTTCTCTTCTCTATCAAGCATATAGGCCTGAATGCAATGCTCTCAATGATCGGTTTGCATAGGTCATTGAAGCCACCGGCGGCCATCTTACCATGCTGAATAAGTATAACAGTAAACCAAAAGCTTCAGTATTTAACCGAATTGTGCCAAAATAGGTTACAATAGCACGAAAGTCAACGATCACCTCTGTATTTGGCACTGCAATGGCCTCAGTCGACCGCCGGACGACATTTTATGTTTAAACCGGGCGGGATTTTGCTTGCACCATTTTTAGGGGCATATACTGAATGTCCATGGAGAGGTTGATGTAATCACGCACCTGAAATACATCATAGGCATGCGGAATTCGTTAAAGTTCGTGGAATTTTGTACCCACAACCGGAGATGGCAGCGGCGCTAGCTGCGGCTGATGAAACAAGTGCCGTAAGCCTAGTACCCTATGCATTCATGTCAATATGCAATGTCAGTAACCGCTGGCTGTCCGAGAAGCTGATGCAATGGAAGCACACCCCCCCCCCCCCGGCCAATAAAAATCATTACTTGTATTACTTTGCAACTTTGCTTTGAGAACTACTATTGCCATATCGTCTGGGATCCGTATCAAAAGTGTGATGAAAATGGAAAAGCCCATCAGGGGCTCATTAGGGATGATCTACAAAAATCTGTTCTCAGCAATGGGTTCCGCACCCTACGAACTTCCTTGTTACCCGAAAATAATGGACTCGATGAACCACAACGCGTTCAATTACAGTATGCAAAGCCTCGACGGCTCCGTGTCTCGCGCAAAGTATACGCGATAGGTAATATTTTATGGTGAATTGTTCCGGTATCGCCTGTGTATTTTTTTTCCAGTTTGTGTGAATCTTAACAGTGAGGTACATTTTGCCTAAGGTCTACATTTTAGAAGTCCTTTGTACTTGACGTTATTAGGTCTAAAAGATGTTTCTGGTTGTTGCCCTCCAGCTCATAAACATACTTTGCCCCGCTGCAGTTCCGACTCAGTGAGCCACCAGCCGCAATGGTTCTTGTAACTCATATAACTTCATAGCTAGCACGAGGCAAAAATATGCATGCATTGGAGGGCTTGGCTGCGCCATGGCCGGGCCGTGTGTGCTGGTTGTAGTAAGTACTGCGTTGGTGGAGGGACTTGATCTCAAGTCTAGTGCATCGCATGCCGCCTAGTCGCACGTGGGTATACGAATACGTACGTGTTTCCGTGATCGATATCGGGTACAAAATCCTGCATGACTGCGCGAAAGGGCACATCAAGTGGTGACATTTTGCATGTTTTAGTTAAGTGTTTCCGATCATTGCTGTTAAAAGTGTCATATTTGGTCGAAGGTAAATCTTGACTGGGATAACCACTTCTGAAGAAGACCAGAGAAAGCCTGCAGGATTCTGCGATTCTGGGCAAAGCTGCGCTTCAAGTGAAGCATTACTACAGTGCGCTTCACTTTATATGGTAAGTTGTTACCTACCTGACCTAGTGTAACGTTACATCTGGCTCCATTAAACACATAGACCACGTACAGGTACTGCCTACTGCTGGACTGCTTTCCTTCCTAGAGCTACATGCAGAGCGCCATGACTGTAGGCTAGGCCCTACCGTACCTCCGTTGTGACAGTGTTCAGTCCCTGTCCATCAGTCAACGGTCACTGTGCTGTTAGTGTTTTACATGTACAACATGCTGGCCAACGATGAGTTACGCGTAGCAAATTTCTGTTGGAAACTTCTCAACCATTTTTAGGGCTGGGTGCTTGCTGCTGGCTCAAACTTGACACAATTCATCTGTTCTGTTCATTATTTTATTTTCATTCATGACATAGGCCTACATGTAAGTAAAAAATACCGTTTACTGGCACAGTGCTGTATTTCTGGTATACGATTCCTGCTTTTGCAATTTGTAACAATTCCGTCTCGCCTAGCCTCCCAATGTCCTGGACATGTATCTGCCAGAAGGTTAGATGCAGATGAGTGATTTTAAATGCCAGGGTCAGGACTAGCACAAAAACAAATACAATTTCTACAGAAATTGTTCCTTTCAACCAATGAACACGGTGATTGAATTTATTTTGTCGTCTTGAATTCGCCAGAACATTAGTAAAGCAGCGCCCTCTATTATCAAGAACAAAGGAGTTACACATTCTAATGTAGCAGTGGCATGAGACTTTATTCAGAGGTAAATACAATGTACATGTACATGTATGGTGTCGGTGACCACTTTTCCTGTCATCTGTTCTGTTTTGTGGCTCAAAAGAATAGTTCAGTGCATGAATTTATGACCCTAGTCTCACTAGAGTCAGAATTTACACAAGCACAGAAATGTACATGTGGTCTCCCTAGCCAAAGCCCAAGAGCACAAGATCTAAACACATCTGCCTCGACGGAACAAACAAAATGATGGACTATCTTGACGGTCTTGAGATCTTGCACGGTCCGTTCTAGAAGAAACAGAACCTAAATAGTCAGAAATCAGCTGAATTTATAGACATACATGTACATGTAGTGCGGATGCACGTGGTACATGTAAGCGTGCAGCATGCACGTTTTATGCAACAGCAATAATTGGCCGAACAGTGCAGCAATCTACGTGAGCTTGTAACAATGCAGCAATACGTGCATTCAGGAAACTATTACTGCCAGTCTGCAGCAAAGAGTCAAGTAATGAACAAACTTGATGAGTATTATTTAACAGGAAGATAGTGGTGGGTAGCCGTGTCAGTCAGGTAGAATCCAAATATAAAGAATCAGCAGCACTTTAATGACTAACTATTAAAGTAAAACTCTGCATAAGCTTTCGTAGCTACAGCTACTTCATCAGAGCAATCTGATGAAGTAGCTGTAGCTACGAAAGCTTATGCAGAGTTTTACTTTAATAGTTAGTCATTAAAGTGCTGCTGATTCTTTATATTTGTTAACAGGAAGATGTTAGGGCTTCAGGAAGAATTACTTATAAGGTCAGTCATCACAAATAAGGGCAAGAATCTGTACTACAGTGAGAACAGGAACACTTGAGCTTATAGCGGGAATAATTCAGCAAAGAATATGATTTCAATATGATTTTACATACCGGTACACCCTAGAGGGTTAGGGTTAATTGGTTTAACTCATACAATTTACTGTCATCTGACGTCTTTGTCTAATGTCTCCCTAATCTCAATGTCGTCTCCATATGATGGGGCTTCGTCATTGAAGGCTGGCCAACAGTGTCTGAACAAAATGAAAATGTGTTAGACCATTATGGTTGATAGCATACATGTACATGTGCTATATAGCTTGATGTGCATCTCTGGGAAGCATGATTTAATGAAACTCCATAGTCAGTAGGGTAAAACTTACCGGTACATGTAGGCAAATCCAGGGACGAAGTCAGGATTTTTGAATCCCTGTGTAAAGATTCTCACTGAGGTACATGTACATGTATATACACTGGGCCAAATCTTACTTAATGAGTGTATGTAAGTACACAAAGTAAGTAATGAATGTCAATTGTGTGTGTTATAGTATAACATTTTTTCGGTGGCTATGGCGTATACAGGCCATTGTAAAGTGCAGAGTGTAAGGAGTCCCAAAAAAAATTGGTAGCAAGTATTTTTAACCCAGTTTAATAAAGAAAAGTTTGAATTGAGATTTTATATTAGCATGATGTCCTGATTTATTTGAAAGACTGGCAAGAACCCTGAACAAAAAATTGTCAGAAAATACACGGACATGAAACCCAGAATGTAAATCAAGATGATAGGCCTAACGATTTATCATAATTTTTACTTCAAAAAGAAAATCATAGACTAACTGAGCCATTTGTCAATGCAAAACACGAGTACTATTTAAGAGAACCTTTGCCTGATTTTGGGGCACAATTTTTCAATTTTCAGACTTAATTTAAATTCAAAAGTGTAGAAAATGTTCTCATAATTTATACTCCAATAATTGCAAGGTTATACATGTAGGTCAATGTTTTAAAGAATGAGTTTGAAGCTGATCGAGGAAGATGTTGAAAAACATGTCTTGAGGAAAGTTCTGAAACAGGAAGAAAGTTGAAGTGTAGCAAATAAGCTAAATTAGAAGACTCCATAAATGCGGCCTGGGTCCTTGACTGCCTGTATATACAGTATGTGTTCGTGTACCAACCGGTGCCTTGGCCTCACTGCAGTGTGCACTACACTGAGGGCAAAAGTCCTGAAAAAAAATTGGAAACATAGGCCTACACGTACCAGGTACAAGCATTTTGTTCCAGTTTGAGATGACCAAAGAGGACTATGCTTCTGTGTAAGTTTTGGATTAAGTTTTCTAAAATATAGACATTTTCATTTTGAAACTTTGTTGTGAAATCTCTGCTCAAAATCTTGGTCAAAATTCCCTGCGGTGAAGCCAAAACAGCTCCATGGTAAAATGACCAAGTCCGTTGGAGCATGCACGAAATATTATACGACACAGACATAAACTTGTGCAAGTCACTCATTTGCCCAAAGTAAAACATTAATGTGCAAGATGTAGATTATGAAAGACCCTGATAAATGTCATCATCTTTCTTTCTGTGCTGAAGGAGTGCACATGAATACAGGTTTCACCTTGATTGTAAAATCTGAAAATACTGTAGATCCTGAGGATCCTTTCATTGTATCAGCCACTTTAGCAGTCCAGTGCAGACCAGATGAGTGTTAAACATTCTTTCACATAGAGGTTCCACTTTCAACTAATGTACATCAGTGCATATTACGTCATGCTCATCGGTGATGGCAAAAATATGCTCATAGAGGCAGCACAACTCACCGAGTACTGTTGTTTTGGAAATAAGAATTGTTAGCAGTCAGCTTTGTAAGCCACTGATAAAAATGACTGTCATTGTGTGGAACTCGGAGAACCTTACAAAAGAGCTAATCACCTGTAAAGTTCACTCCATTATGGGAATACATGTACATGTACTTCTGGTGCATGCACACATATGCACTTGTGAAGCTACAAATTTGTTATTTCAAGGTTTTTCCATATGTCCATTTATCAGTGTATTTGGATGTTTAGTACTAACAGCAGTGAGTTACTCAGTGGTGAGGACACAAATGACATGGCCAAAGCCAACTTCTGTAGGAACTTTAGCAAGTGATAGCCAGGACTGGATCCTGAGGCCGGGCCAACAGCGGCCAAAAGTAGCCCAATTAAAAAAAAACAATTAACGGATTGCCTTTTTGTTTTGATCTGTTTCATTCCTTCCCTTCCAAAAGCATCTAAAATTCCCCCAAATGTAGCCTCATCCCTCAGAAAAGTCATTAAAGGTTACAGGGTACATAAAGAGAGTCCTATTTTTTGGGTTCTCCACTAATATTATAAACCCCAAGCCTGGCCTCCTTGAAAATTTGGACCTTGACCCGCCATTGCTGTACATTGTGTTTATTGCATTGTTATACTGGTAGTAGGCCAAGTTATTTTAAACATGTTGAATGTAGATTGTTTTCATGTTGGCAGGTGGGACTGCGATTAGAACGTCTTGGCCAATTTTGAAAAAACTTTTGAACAATAAATGGAGACTTTTAAAACAAAATGAAAATAAAATGCTTAGAATTGCTGTTATGACCAAATCTTTTTCTGAGAGTCAGGCCCCTCATATCTACAAAGTTTGTATTTTTGGCACAGACGGATGTATAGAACAAAGACTAACACAAGTCAAACATTACTTTTTGTCCAGTTCACAACCTTGAAATTAGATTGCCCTGTTATCTCCACAAAACATGCTGCACATGTGAAGGACTTCTTCAAGGAAGTTGACTGGCCACACATTGGTGGCCAGGTAACCCATAACAGGAAATTCAGGCATCCATCTAATTTTGTTGAAAATAGTGATGTAATCACTGGTATACATCTGCGTTGTCTGTATTGAACAAGGACACACGAGCTACTGTTGGCAGTTAATATTGATGGATATAGACTGGTTTTTATTTCAAAATTCTTCAACAACAAACTTGAAAACATTTCTTTTCTGTTATCTGAGAGGTTACTAAGTAATTTTAAACATTATGAGAACCTAGTGCCGTAATTTGGAAACTGTTCTAGATATGAACAGCTGGGCACTTGGGTACCCAGTTCTAATGTATTGTTCAAATGCACCTCTACATACAACATGAGGGCTAATACATTGTACTTTCAGGTTTCTTTGGCTAATTTTTATTTTTTAGAGTGCTCTTTTGCCTTCAGCTGACACATCACAAACAAGACACGCAGTACCTATTTACAGTCACATCATGTCACAGCTCGCTCTGGTTGTCCTGTTGGGAGTCATCTGCCATGCTCTGTCTGCGCAGGGACAGGAGCACATACCACTCACACTGAACGTGGAGTCAGGGCTGCAAGATGTACCGTGCGGAGGGTTCAGGTATTTCTCCGTGGAGGTGACCGATCCGTGCAAGGACTTGCGAGTGATGGTAAGCCATCAGGAAATTTCCATATTCATGAGCACTGATCCACATCTCATGAACATATCTGTTTGCAATATTATGTGATATCATCTTCGACAAAAGTGTCAGAATAACAATTGAACATGTTGAAAGACAGGAAAAATAAACCAATTCTCTTTTCCTATCTAACATTGGTTTGTTGTCTTCCTTTAAAAGCTGCGCATCAAAACAAATTTTTTCCTTATTGGTCTTGTGCAACAGTTATGGTACATGTACCTTGAAGTTTACTCATAAGTCCTGAAATTAGAAGGCGCTTTTTTTAACAATTTAAATTTTTGTCTTTTTAAAGTTTTCACCTTGGAATATTGTTGAAAAGAAATATTCAAATATTTGACAATCAATCAAAGCTTTCAGCAGTTAAGCCAGGAGTCCACTGTAGGACCCAACCCCCATATTGTAATTTTCATTTGACCAACCAAGTACAGTTTTTCTTGTAGTTGTGAACTTCCATTTGACAGTATGAGGGTGTTTTTTCCTGTGTGTCAGGTGACCAAGATTGAGGGAGAGCCCGATGTGTACATTGGAAGGGGTAACAACATGTTCCCCACTGACAACACCTTGGCCTGGAGTTCCTATGAATGGGGCTCAGAGAACCTCACCGTATCCAGTTGGGACCCAGAATTTGAAGTGGGCACGTTCTACATTGGCGTTCACGCCTACTGTGGGATCGACGTTCACACAGGCAACACCTGTAAGTAATTCATATCAAGGTTTTCTTTGTGAAAGATTTGTGTACTGGATTTTTCGGAGCGTGTTGTCGCTATATGGCTGCCAGACCAAAAGATCCCCCTGTGTTTATCTTGTATTCAGTGGTCAGGAGTGAATCGGCGTGTTAAATAAATGGCATTGCAAAGATTAAAAAGTTCAAAATTGCAATAGCGTCCAAGCCTAGTGTATTGGGCCAGGGATACCTGTACAGAGGTTGTCCGACTGGCCCTAGATTGGGGCTGGGAAGCCACAAGATCTGTGCTGACAATCTGTGAGACTTCCATGTACATGTACATGTACATACAAGGACACAGGTCATATCTGCAGGAACCCAGGGCATGTTTTGGCCACCCAAACCATGAACTTGTTTCAGCTTTGGTCATTGGTTAAGCATTTTCTTGATCTCTGTTATGCCTGTGTGAAGTCATTGTTCCCATTGAACGTGAACCAAAGGTTAGAGTTGGTTCAGTGCTGGTTAAAAATGGTGGAAAGCAAATAGACAAGTTTTGTTGCCCCGTACACTTCAAAATTATTTGGGACATGTAGCAAATCAAAGAGATACTTTCTTTAAGAACATACATGTACATGGAAAGAGAGAGCAGCACTGATGAGAAACATGCCGAATATTGAGTGAAAATGATGTTCATCAACAGTGTCGTTTGTTTCCTTGTGCTTTGCCTCTGTCAGGATGACTCAACTAATTCTGGTTTGTTGTTTTTGTGGGCCACCCTTAACATGTTCAGGGTTATTGCTTTGACATCGCAAACATATTTTTGGTTGGAGTCACCTCCGTTTACTATCATCAGTAAGGCAATATTGACCCTGTTATCGTACATGTACCATATATGTACATGCTGAGCAGCATAAACTACATACAGCCAAACATATTGGTTGCCAGTCATCAAATTTGTTCATTTCACTCAGAATAAATACATGTAAATGTACCACTTGGCCTCTCTCAGTGTTAATTTAAACCAGTCAACACATACAATGTACATTAGCTGCTCATTGAATCTGTCCCAAAAAAAGAGCACAAAAATATGTATATATACTCGTACCGGTGGGTACCGTATTTCCTCTTTTTTGTGCAAACTTGGGAGCAGAACTGGGTTTTTGGCCTGAGCTACCAGGCATTGGAGGCACGGTTATTTCAAAAGTTGGTGTCAGTTGTAAGATCATCATTCATTGAATAACGTCTACCTGTATTTTCAATTCAGCTTCTTTTAATTCTTTGTACTGTCAGCATCTAAGGTTAAAGTTCTTGCAGAGAGTTTGGCAACCAGCCACATGCACCCAGAGATCACCGCTGGCTCACCCATCAGAGATGGGAGGGTTGATGCCCAGGGCTACAACTATTACCGCTTTTGTCTGCCACACAAATGCGCCAATGTGGAGGTCAAGCTGGAGAACTGCCTCAGTGGAGCAGACTGCCCGGACTCCTACGGGTACCCGGAACTCCTGGTATCGCGGTCCATCGTCCGGCCATCCATCAACGACCACTCTTGGAAGCTGGCCTCCATCTACCGTCGCAGCGTCTACCTGCAGCACAATGACTCGGACGTCCAGCCCGGCCACTACTTCGTGGGCATATACGGCTGGTGCACGCCTGACGAAAACTGCCCCGACAAGAGCACGTGTGGGCCCTGTGAGTATGTCGCCAACATGGCCTACAATGTATCCGTCATCATGACGGATGTCGCTGACTGTGATCTTAACCCAGAAAAGTGTAACGCTCTGTCTGTGGAGGGACAGAAGCATGTACCGCTCACATTGAATGTTGAGTCGGGGCTTCACAAAGTCCCATGTGGAGAGTTCAGGTATTTCTCCGTGGAGGTGACCGATCCGTGTAAAGACTTGCGAGTGAGGGTAAGTCATTGGACAATTTCCATGTTCAGTATCAGTGAGCCATGTCTTTGCAAAATATGATTTCACAGTAATCATGGACAAAAGTGTCAAAATCACAGCTGATTTTGGTTTTTGATTTTGTCTTTCTATGGCTGTGCATCAGGACAAGGTGTACATGTAGTCCAGCGGCCAAATGTCACTTTTTACCTGAATCTTGCTTTGGAGGATATCTGATATGTTTTGACAGATTTTGACTCTGTAGACCACAGACAACCAGAATCTGCATGATGACCTTTGATGACATTTGGGTAATTGGAGATAAGAGGGAACAGTTCCTTTAACTACGTGTATTTAGATCAAAATCCAAATGATATAAAATGTTTTGCAACCATTGGTGGAACCCTTTGAAACATTTATATTGTAAATTAGAATTCTATTTACAAATTCTATATAAAACACAATTTGTTGTTACCCAAATAAAACTTAAATTGTCATTTATTATATATATTTGTTGAAATCAAACCAAATTGCTTGTTTGTGTGAAAAAAATGTGTTTTTAAATTGGTCATTTTCAAAGAGTGACCAAATTGATTGGTCTGGTGCAGTCCAGAACAGTATGCATGGTATGTGCTATCCAATCTTAACTGAGTCAGGATACACTCACATGTAAACAATGTCACATGCATGCTGAGAATCATGTCTTCGCGATGGTGTTCGGGGCCAATTTTCATCAAAGTGTTTACAGCACATATAGTTGCCCAAAAATGTGTCACAAGTGATTTTATATGCACCACATGTCAGTAGCAGGTTTGTGATTGAAAATTTAAGTGCTGTGTTTTGCACACAAAATTTAATCGATACCAGTTTTACCTGGCCTTCTTACTGCTGAGTTATCAGCTACATGTAGGTAGTAACTAGTAAGTTTAAATGTTACAGCTTACACTGACTGACATCGGTGCCAGTGTAGTTGTTTTCAAGGTTGTTTTGGTTGAGTTTGTTCAGAACAGCATACTGAAAGTACATGTACAAATATGTGCATTTGTTCGGTGATTTAGAATAGTATACATATATTTCAGCCTTACTTTGTATTCTTTGTTGCCTTGCACGTTTTGTGAGTGGCTGGGTCTTCAGGTCTTGTTCTTGTAGCTCGTTTGGACTGATAAGTGTGATGGCGGTATTTCAATTCATTATGCAGTATAGAAAATAATGCTGTACCTGCCTCTGGTTTTTTCGACTACAAAAAGACATGAATCTAGGACTGAGAAAAAAATGTCCAATTTTTTTTTAACAAATACTATTTGCTGGACTGTCCTTAGGTAGACTTAGTACACAACCACTGTAACATTCTTTCCTTGGTAGATGTGCCTTCATGTACGTGTACTAGTACCGTCAGACTGGATAATTGAGATAAAGCTGTTGAATGATTTTTCTTCGATGGTGCAGTATCTGCATCCCTCTCCTAACTGTCTCTCAAACTCTGATGATCATTCATGATGGAATTGCTCTGCCAGCTGCTCCCAGATTACTACTGAAAGGCTCCTAAGCATTTGTTGATTGCATGTGCATAGTATGATGGATTTCTGCAATTGAAGAGATTGGTTTGTATTGCAACAACCAATAAAATGAACCCTCACTTACATTGGGGGGGGTAGGTGGTCCTATGGTGCAGGTTGTTTTGACAACTGTGATGCAGACGTATCATCCAAGAATGGATAACACTTGCATTAGTAAACATGGCGTGGCCAAACCAGTTGAATACAGCATACCGGCACAAACGAGTACAGAACATTACCAGGCATTTGAGGAGTCTAGAAATCCAGAACTGCCGAAAGACAAAAGCTCTGAAGTCTATTTTGCCCTTAAAAGTGGTGGCACATGGGGTCATTGCAGCCCATAGGATGATGCAGAGGGGTTTGCCTTTTCAAGATGCACTCACCTGAAGAGACTCCCCCAAATGTAACGGGTGAAATACCATACTTAATTGAGGACAAGGTCAAAATGAAAGCAAAAGTTTTTTGCCCTTAAAAGTGGTGGCACATGGGGTCATTGCAGCCCATAGAGCGATGCAGAGGGGTTTGCCTTTTCAAAATGCACTCACCTGACATGCCTGAAGAGACTGCCCCAAATTTAACAGGTGCAATGCCATACTTAATTGAGGACAAGGTCAAACATCCAAAGCAAAAGCTTCCTTTCTGCCATGACACCATCAGATCCTGTACACAGAGGACATGGAGGCCAGCTTTGAGTGAAGCTCAATGGCTGACAGGTCAAGCTGGACAAGACCCTACCATGTACAGAAGTGATCAGCAGTTGTATAGAGCTTGTCAAAAAGTCATTGTGACATACATGTACATGTATATGTACCAGACAATTTGTCAAACTTTCGTCACTCTTTAGCTTTTGAAGGACATTTATGTGATCAATTAAACCTTTGTTTGAATTTTGAGAAAACTTAGATAGTGGAGTAAGTAAGACCAATCTTACAAGCACACTTTTCATTTGAAAGTGCAGTGTGTTGCTGCAGCAAAGAACCTTGCTTCTTTACTCAGAGAAACAGTTCAATAAACATTTGACTTTTATTGAAATTTCAATATATTTAGTTCAACTTGAAACAAATAGTTGCCCTGCCCCCTCCCCAAAAACCTAAGTACTGGTAATTCCTTTAGAGCCTTTATTCCCAGTCCGATGATGTTGTGGTCTTTAGAAAGTTAAGGTTAGGTATCAACAAAATTATGACTACATAGAGACCTCAACCACCTGTGCAAATTTGAAGCTTAGTCAACTCGACTAAATGAATATTGGATCTTCCATTCCATTAAATTTTTCAACCATTCATGTGCACATGTACAGTACCCACTTCCCTCAAATGCAGAAACAAAATAATCATGTAACACTGGGTTTCAGGACAGGAGTCAGTCCCCTAGTAAAAGATGTTTGGTCCTACCCGTAAAATTGGTGATTTATTCCCTAAGTCCCAGTGAGATCACACTCCAGGAAAATTTTTGAAAGGAGAGAAAAATTTCAAGGAAAAGTCTTTTTCGGCCTTTATGTTGGGCATGTGTATCCACTCCCTTTACACTTACTTGTAACACCTGAGATATGCTTCTAGAATGCTGTTTCGTAACCCAATAATTGAATTTTTGACTCTTTTTCAATATCTGCCTCCAAGCATTAGATTGTGAAAATAAGCTTTCAAATATGTGAAAGTCGATAGAAGTTATAGTATTTCCTGGACTGAGGGCTTTGTTTCAACTGCCGGACTGACCATAGACCTCATGTTGTAATTCACATTTGACCAGTCCAATACAAGCTTTCTAGTAGTTGTGAACCTCAGTGTGACATTGTGACACAAAGGGTGTCTTTCCCTGTCTTCAGGTGAACATGGTTGAGGGAGAGCCGGACTTGTACATTGGCCGGGGCAACAACAAGTTCCCCACTGACAACACCTTGGCCTGGAGTTCTTACAACTGGGGCTCGGAGGACCTCACCGTATCGAGTTGGGACCCTGAATTTGAAGTGGGCACCTTCTACATTGGTGTTCATGCCTACTGTGGGATCGACGTTGCAACAGGAGACACGCGTAAGAAATTCTTTCCAGGTTTTTTCATTCACTAATTTAATAGAGGAAGCGATTTTGATATTCAACAGCTTTAAGGATGCTTTCATGTCAGTTTCTGCAGTTCTCTGGTGGCACCTTTTAAGATACTGGAGGGAGGATAGAGAACTACATGTACATGTACAGTCGGTGTTGGCAATGTTTGCAGTCAGCTGTGCATTGTCTAGAAGTAACAGAGCTCTGACTTCATGTTTAGATTTTGAGTTGCTAAGGAGTAAAAAGGAGGAGAAAATGAAGACTTAAGCAGCTTCATGCATGACTGGATCAAATGCCATGTAATTGGAAACAGGGGTGTTTGGGCCCGAGTTATAAGGCATCGGAAATGATGGTTTTTTTCTTAAGTTGGTGCCAGTTTTAAGATCATCATTAATTGAAAGATTGCTACTTATTATTTTCAAAAACCAAATATTTAGCCTTTTTATTTTATGTTCTGTCAGCATCTAAGGTTACAATTTTGGCTGAGAGCATCCCAACCACCCACCCGCATAATGAGATCACCGTGAACTCATCGATCAGAGATGGGAGGGTTAATGCTGAGGGCTACAACTATTACCGATTCTGTCTGCCACACAAATGCGCCAATGTGGAGGTCAAGCTGGAAAATTGCCTCAGTGCGGCAGAATGCCCGGACTCCTATGGGTACCCGGAACTCCTGGTATCGCGGTCCATCGTCCGGCCATCCATCAACGACCACTCTTGGAAGCTGGCCTCCATCTACCGTCGCAGCGTCTACCTGCAGCACAACGACTCAGACGTCCAGCCCGGCCATCACTACGTGGGTGTGTACGGCTGGTGTACACCCGACGAAAACTGCCCTGACAAGAGCACGTGCGGGCCCTGTGACTACGTCGCCAACATGACCTACAGTGTGTCCATCATTATGACTGATATCCCTGACTGTGATCCGAATGCTTGGAACCCGGACCCCTGCAATACCAACAAGGCACAGATATTAATGCCATCCTACCTTGTGTTCTGTGTCAGTGCTATCCTCATGAAGATTTTTTTCTAGTTTTTAGCGATGTCCAGGTGAGAAGTGAGAAAGAATGGTTTTAGAAGGATAAGGGAGAAAGCAAATTGGGCAATAAGGTTATTAACATTGCTGACATTAAAAAAAATGGTCTGACCCATTTTTTCACTAGTTGATGTTCACTCTTGGCAACAAGTTAAATGCAACGGAGTGCAATAAAACTGAAATGGAACCCTGTTGAATGCAACAGAACGACTCAAAAGTGCACCAGTGGATTTTGTTGCACTGAGTGCTGAGTTACTCTTTGTGTTCAGCCACATGCGCTACATGTACCATTATGTAACGTTACATCATTAAATTGCTACATGTGACAATACACAACTCTTCACTACCACTCGTGCAGTCTGATACAATCAGCAGAGATAAAGCCAATAGGAGATGCCATTACTTTACTGTGGTGCCATTTCATGCGAGGGGGGGTGTCTTGTGGATTTTTAAACTTTTGTTCACTGTGGTACATGTAGTTCACAACACAACATTGGTCAACAAGGCATTTATCGCACGACCTGTGCTCGGATGTTCACCACTGCAGTAAAGGCATCCAATGGTGTCCACCAGGTGATATCCTAACAGTTCTTTGCTTTTCTGTGGCAAACACAACGGTCGTTACTTCTGTCACCATTTTCTTTGATGGAATAAGTACAGCCAAATCTAAAAATTGCAAATGTTCAAGATTTGAGAGCAGTGGGAAAGGTAACTTTGATAAGGTGCATACCCAGGGTATGATCAAACCCGCCAGTAAAAAGAAATGTTTAATTTAATCTGTTGACTGAGTGATCATGTCCTGTGTGGTTTCCTGGCGACGTCTGTAGCCTGAGCTCGTGTATCATGCTCAATTCTGCGAGAAAGCGAGCAAATACTTAACTATACTAAATACACAGATCGCAGTAAAGCGTGCGTACATTTCAGTAAACATTACATTTAATTTACAGTGGAGTGTTATATAAATATGATCTGTATTCTGCTCCCATAAACGAGGTTAAGCATGCGTTGTACCCAAGTGTATATGCGTTGCATGAACAATACTACCCACCAAGTCTTTTTTTCTGTGTAAGCGTCCATATTTTTTAGGTCTCCACAGGGTAAGAAGAACTGCATCAGGTCATAGTTATGTGCAGTGACATTTTTTTATGGCACACATACATATACTGTACATGTATATTTATGTATCTTTATTGAGCCGTTCAGCAATATTTGTGTACCCTATTCAAAAGTATTCTTATTTGTGATTTGTACCATGATGTTGAATTTATTGAATTCCAAATGTCCTCCATCTGCGTTTATTTTTGCCTTTTGTTCTTTCGTCAGCAAATGTTTATTTTCTAGTCTAATTTGTTGTTTTTTGTATAAGAGGTCGCTGTTTTTTTGTACCTCGCACAATTATTTTTGGATGTTCATTTACTCAGATTTAGATTTTGAAAATATAAACGATTCCAGATTTGGTCATTTTGTTGCCATTTTTTTTTAATGTGACAAGGCACAAAGTGTTATTTGTCAGTTTTGAGCATTTCATTGTTTCCTGTAGTACAAAAGCGAATAAAGTGCATTAAGCTCTAGCAACTACTAACTGAAATTCAACTAGCTTTTGATACTTTGAAATAATATAGTGTGGGAGTGCAGCACTCTTGGTGCAAAGTTTTTTGTTTGTAATAGCTAAAGGTTCTATGTTGTATAATTGAGGAAATGTGTGAAGTTTATTACTGTCTGGTAATACCTAGTAGTAAGTGATTAGGTACATGTACATGTTGAGAAAATAAATTGAGAAAATGATAAGTTTTCATTTATCTTTGTTTAAACGGGAAATAGTATTTTTCTAAAGAAATGTAGCAGAAAACTAACTCCATTGAAAACTGTCGTCATTTTTTTGCAGCAAGGGAGTGAGAAGACCATGTTTTGTTTATGTGATGAAAGGTGTGTTAAAAATGCCGCTTGTTTACTGCATATATTTGCATGAAGTAATGCAATTAAAAAAGGTGGAAGCTGCTGTCAGTTCCCAGCTCAAGCGTCTTGAGTCACGGTCACTTGGGGAAAAGAAAGGAGGTGTGCCCCCCCCCCAACACCTGCCGTTTGTCACACTCCCAGCTTGATAATAATTACATGCTCATACATGCCTTAGACTGGCTGTGTTGTCAACGAGAACATTCACCAAACCAGACGCAGGACCAGATATAAGTAACAGCTAGGGTGAACAATAGCAAAGGAATGGTTTTGTTGGAGTCATCCAAAGAGCTTGTGACTTGAATTGAGACTGGAGGTCCTGTGTTGGTCAGGGGTGCGAATCGATTGATCAATGGAGGAGGGGGTATATATCCCCGTCACTTTTTGAAAGTAGCAGGGTATGACCATCCCTTGGTGGGTTTTTAGGTGTTTTGGAACTTCCCAACAACTAAAATGTACTCAGTACAAATAACTAAAGCTTTTACATATGTCATTTTGATGTCAGCTTTTAAGTAACATGTACGTCTGCATCACATGATTGGTGCCCCTAGCGTCGTGTGATGTCCTGCCTTTTTCAAACTTCCACGAGCTGAGCAACTATTGACTACAGTCATTCCCATCCCACCCAGTCCCCGGAACAAACTTACGCCATTGGCGTTGGTCTTGTGATAGTGTCTTTGGGGGGGGGGCCTTCACCAAACACCGATCAAAAGGCTAAACAGGAAATGCAGTTTAATGTGTTTTTCTTTTCTAGTAAATGTCTTGTCCGTGCTAGCCGGGAACCTCATGAATGTACACGTACACGTATGTATCCCAGTCAGTTTGGTTTTGACTGGTATTCTTGGCTTTGGGCCACTTACCAGTAAAAATAGGTTTTCAAAATGTGAATGAGGCGGTAAGTCAAAGATTGTTAATGTTTATTGCAGTTTTGAGGGAGGATTAGCGGCCAAAGGAATTTACAAATCAGATTTGTTTTCCAGGAAAAGCAATCCACACCAGCCTCATTTTCGAAACCTTCGGGGGGGGTTGAACCTGGCTGTACCGGGGCTGTGGAAAACAGCGGCGTATCCGGCTTTAGGTGTCGGGGGATTCAAAAACGAATGTGGCTTTGAGCATAGTACTCAACCACAGAGCAAGGAACTTTAACCTGAAGTTGGGGGATAAAAATTTCAAAAGTCTTACTCGCGGTCCCGATATCCTTGCTTTTATTTCATGCATGTTGTTTTCCTAGGGTTCCGATGCTGATATTTGACAAATAAATATTCCGATTACTTTCTTTCCTGTGAAGTATTCTTGGTAAAAAAAAAGTTCCGTCGGGGGAAAGTCCCCCCCCCTTCCCGATACGCCATGGTGGAGAACTATTTGCTAGTCGATTTCCACAGACCTCGCCATGGGGGAGTAATGCTCTAGAGTGCGCGTGCTTTTATGTTTGTGACCCGCCGCGCCGGCTGCATTTAGCGATCGGTATACTACATGCATATGGAGCAACCAGCTTTAGCAACGCACGCATATCGTGACGCGTGAAGTAGTGTACAAATATCGAATGGTCACTGCACGACGGGGTGTGCGTGGCCGGTTGTTGTGCGTATTTGCGTGATCAAAATGAATGAACTGATGGCAGGTAGGCCTTACTGACTTACTTGATGAATTATCAGGGGAGGATCCTGGACTTTTTCCGGGGGGGGCAAGCTGGAGATTTTTGTTAATGTCTCATTTTTGCGGACAACCATGACAACGATGATGAAACAGTCATTTACTGAGGGCCTACGTACATGTAGGCCAAGCATGCCTCGGCCAACATTGTTTACACTGCATTCATATTTCCTATTGCTAGTAATACTAATAGCATGTAAATACTAGTATTAGGCCTATTTTCCCATGTGAGGCCTAGGCCTACCTTTTTTCGTCTTAGAGTGGGGAGGGGGTTTACATCATGACGGAATTTTCAATAACATTACAGCGTTACTGCATCCACCATGTAGGCCTGCTCTGAGTCGGTCGTCCCCGGCCTAGTGCCCCGCTTTCTAGACATGCTAGAGTAACCTGAGGCCGCGCCTGAAGGCCAGGCTGAGCCGGTAACATTTCGGCGGAGTTGTTAACATACACTGTAGCCTAAGAATAACGTTATAGAGTTCCATTTATAAACATAATTATTTGGAAAAAATGTTGCATCTTGACTCCAAGTATTTCCCAACAACATCGGTAGGCCTATATGTTTCTCAGTCCATAATTCGTGTCTTTCCAGCATTTCTGTAATGACTGACTTTTATTGAGATGATTTGAAAAGTGGAGTCAGGATGCAACATTTCTTCCGACTATTTTTTCCCTTCAGTAGTAAATCAGCCATTGGAAAGCGATAACTAGGCCTATCCCCATAATCTTGCTCACAGTATACATACTGTGGGCGATGACATCCTAAAATGTCTTTCCCATGTAGCCTACTGTATGTTGTCAATTGCCAAAACTGGCAAGAATTCTAGCGACATCCTCCCACATTGACTCTTCTTCCTGTTTTTGCAACTCCATGCAAACATGGAAATTGGTTGCACTTGCACAGTTTCAGTACGGAGGAATAGTGTGTTCCGTATTCCTCCATTGTTTGAGGTATGGCATGTACTTACAAGGGGGCATGTCTTGGTGAAATATAAAGAAGTTTTTCATGAAACAAAAAGGGACATCGGAATAAAAGTTGAGGGTAGTCCCTGCAACCAATTACATACATGTGGGCTTACACTTCCACTTTTCTTCATGAAAAACTACATTTTGGTTGTAAATAATAATGAAGAACTTCCAAATGTTTCACATTTCTGATCACCGAGTTTCATCAGCACCAGCAAGTTTGAAAAGGGGTCCAAGATGATTCCTTTGTCATTCCCCTACGGACCAGGATACCCCTTTTCCTTGCTAAAATCTACCCCCCCCGACCACCACCAAAAAGGAAGGAAGAATTTACTTTATAAAAAGGGGCCCCTTTTTTGTTGGTGCTAATGCATATATTTGCCATGACCCTTGGGACCTGGGACTTCAGAAGAAGTAGCAGGGACATGGGGATTTCCAAAAAAACGTTTCCCGTGAGCTGTGACAATAACAGGGTCTTGGTGGGTGTTATAATTAGAAACACCTTACCCGTAGGTATCTTGTCTAGGATTTGTGCCCAGGATGTCAAGTGATGTCCAGCTTTGAAACTCTTTCCATATGCTGGAAGATTGAAATCTGAATTTTAAGTAAAGTAACAACAGCCTTTCAGCTATTTGTTGGGCTGCAGCTTACCCATTATACATTTTATATGCAGACATGAACCACTTAAAGATATGAAACCCTGAACTTTATTTACAGTATGCATAGTGTTTTAGGCATGGTACACTGGTCAATTAAGTGAGGTACGTACACATACATACATGTACATGTAATACAGCTAACCTTGGCCTTAACTGAGCTTCTATCAGATCTATGGGTCTGTTGCGTGTTGCTAGGCTACCATGCATCCTTCATTGGATAATCACAAAAAAAATCATGCAGTCATCTGTAACTTTGGAAAAGAATATCGAACTCATTTTTTTATGGCCATCATGCCCAAATATTTTTCTTGCTTGACTATTGACGACCTTATTAGGAACATGTAAATGGGATCACAGAATGAATCACTGAATTTAATGTCTTGCACAGCAGGGGTTAAATTTGTCAGGAGTTTACCCGATTCGCAGGAATTTTTGACCAGGATTTTCAAACAATCTGTGTTAAAGTCTGGAATATCCCAAGCATACCACTGTGGTCTTTTTACATAAAAGCTGACCTAGAACAAGGAAAGTGGGTATGATTCATTAAAGGGATGTCTTGAGGCAAATGCAAATGTACATACTGTAGACCTTTAAGTGTAATTAGAGTCCTTTTTGTGTGTGTCCCTGTCACATCTGACATATAATTTTGTAAGTTCAGAACACACTTTCTAATTTCCAAGAGTGATGAATTAATGCTAATTATACATACCTGCCAAAAAACTAGTAATAGTTTGAAATTGATTCCGGTGATATTTCTGTGTCAAATACCAAATACCATTTTCAAAAAGCTGTCACATGTCACCTCAGCAAATTTGAAGATAAAAGATAGTCCTTGAGATATTCGGATAGTTTGACGTTTTACTGCCAGTTTCATTAACATCTCAGTTGTCATTCTTATAACATTTTATACAAATTCTGTTGTTTTATTCTTGGCATGTAAACATTTGCAATCTTCAATTTATTTTTTGTACAAAGTCAATAAATTGTTGGATTTTAAAGATTGATTGTGACAGTAAGTCCAGGTTGATATCCTAGAATTGGGAATAAAACAAATTTTGATGAAAGCACAGGGTCCTCATTATTTTATGACACTAATATGACGAATTTCACCAGGGTGTGACGGGTTTTCCCTGATTGCATTACATTTGCAGGCATTTCTAGTTACGAAGTGTAACACTGAAAACAGTGTTTGGTTTAAATTTGTACCTGTGGGAAATCTTACAAATACACATGTACAGTTTTGTGCTTTGTATGTTTTTATCGACCTGTAAATTTTTCACAGGTCATTTTTACTGGAACTCGCCAAGTCCACAAACAAATTGTGACTTAAATCTTACTCAAGCCCAAATGTATGTAAGCAACTCAAGCCAATAACTCCACTTCCAAGTATCCTTTATTTTTAACCATGTGAGGTTAAGTATGCAAAGCGCATATAGAAAAAAAAGCAATTATCATTGTCTGTCTAGCAGGATGTGTCAATTTGCTGGAAAGGTATAATCACCTGGGTCCCATTAATGTGGATAATTCCCTGGTGCTTTGAAGATTTGAGCACTCACTGTGGAAATGGTTGGCTAATAATCCTCAAGACCAGTAGCAGGCACAGTGCTATGTAGTTGTATGATATTTTGCCTGCCTGTGGACATGTACATGTAATCAGTATATTTTAGGGAGTATTCTTAAATCTGAACAACTCCACTCCACTCAAGCTGGCCACCAAGGTCACTTAATATTGTAGATCTTTTAATATATTAATTTTTTTTCTGATGTTAATTAAGCATTCTTCATTTCTTTGCTTTCTGCATACATGTTTAGCATTCAAACAAATTGAGGCTACTTTGGTGCATCAAAACTACATTCATCATTATTACAAAAAAGGACAAAGAAATTGAGCTTACTTGACATGCATTCCATAAAATGCTAATATACCAATATCGTCATTTTCCGTGAGTGGCCTCTCATAAATCTAATACAATGTGTAGTACATTATAGTCAGTTCATCACTAGTCACATGGTTTAGTCACCAGTATAAACAGGGCAAACAGCGTCCATAAATGTACGTTTTGTCAAAGTTGATCAGAATTTACATGTAGCTTGTGACTTGACTTGCGATTAGGGGAGTATGATGGACTTGTGTCCGACTTGTAGGGACTTGAGATGGACTCGGCTACAATACTGCGTGTGTGAAAGGTCTCTGTTTGTAAAAACTAAGATTGGAGATTGGCAATTAGTCCCTGTAAGAGATTGTCACTGATGTGTGCCTTAACCATCACAATCGTGGTACTTGTACGTGTAGGTTGACTGAAAAACCACATCTTTCTGTTTGTGCTGTTTCTCCAGAATTGGCTCAAGAAAATGAGCAGAAATTCTAGCAGGCTTAACGCGACGAGACTTTGAGAGCTGACAGGCCTGAGAATGCTGTCCTACTGAGGAGTCGAGTGTGGAAACACTTTGTGGCAAGATGGGCACAACTGTGGGTGCGGCCCTGCGGCGGTACTTCCCATTTCCATGCTTGGCCCAGGGACTGATGGAGTCAGACGATTCGGAGTGGCGGAAGCAGAATGAGAACAAGAATGCCATCTACGACCTCATCTACTTCGGCGGTCAGGGGAAGCTGGTGGAAGGGTGAGTGATTTTTGTGGGCCGTGGGCTCTTTGTGAAGGGTAAATGACTGTTTTGGAAAGTCACAGCTTTGGCCAGCACCATCACTCAAGCATCTAGGGGTAATGGATGCTGGCGCAAGCCCACAGCTTACCGGTACGAACATGGAGACCTGTGCACTTGTTATCCCCGGCTACATCAAAGACTGTGCCATGGCGCAGTTCAGCTAAAAAAAAATAATACCATTGGAAGATTTGAAACGGATAGCTACAGGAACATTTCATGGAGTCCCGTGATTCAAGTGCTTGTATAGGACTTTTTATCAGTGAACTAGTGGTTTGGTGGTCTTCCACACAATTATCTTTGATTCTCATTTGGCTGTTGAGTGAAATGGTACCCTTGTCAATCTAATGTTCATCGTAATTGCTGGTTTGCTTCATAGATCACTTGTAAAGAACAATTCATGTTACCTTTCTTGCCTTCAGCCTTTACAAACTGAAAAGGTACTTCCTTTTTTCAGTTCAACCTTACTGGTAGAATGTGTGGTTTCCCTCTTTTTGGACACTGATCTTGGAAGTATTTGTAGTCCTACTAGGCCTCTGTTGTTGAGTGTCTGTTCCTCTGCTCTTTTGCCACTAAATTTTTCCCATAGTGACGTAGTAAGAAGGGGGCTGTGCATGATAAGAAGTTTTTGTAAATATGTTTCTCTAGTGTTTTGGGTTCTGTGAAGTTAACTGTTCAATAGATGTGTACTTCTGAGGAGTAAACATGACACATGTAGATTACGTCATGGACATGCACATGTAAATTATTACCATGAACCATACTGGCCACTGCAGTTGTACAGTGCAATCCCTTCAATCTTTTCATTGAAAAAATGAAGAATGCCTTGGATGTGACTGGCTAATTTGTTCGTGGTTTGGTGGATCACAGCTACCGAAACAGAAAGAGCGATGCCGAGTTCCAGGCCCTGATCAGGAAGGAGGTGGGACCCTTCCTCTTCAATGGCGGCCAGGGGAAGATCATCAATGAATGGGACTACATCCAGTACCGGAAAAGCACTGTTGATGACAAGAAGGTAAATTAGGTCATGGCTGAAGATCGTGGCTGGTAGCTAAACGTGATATTCTCTCCTGTAGAGTCCCAAAAACATCATTTTGAACTAGGAAGTGTGGTACGAGCTAAGGGAGTACATGCGCGTGTTCGTTCACACACTGGCTCTCGTGCTAGTGTGCCTTTACACACATACATGTAATTGTTTGGTTGGCGTTTTCACTGAAGTACTCCAGGGATGCCAACTTGTATGATTTAGGCATAATTTTTACTATTTGTTTAATCCGTTTACAACTGTATGATCCAGAGTAAGATTTTTACAGTTTCCAACTCGAAGGTACAAGTTGTGTTGTATATAAACACCACGTACCTAAGCTACCGGAAGCACGGGGCCGGCCTCATAATGCGCATCAGAAATGTATCGCTGGCATCCCACAGTTTGTGCGTACAAGCTGCGTGAGGAGCGGTAGAAACCAGCGTGGTTGAATCATCTGTTTGCCCCAGTTAACGCTATGATGAACAGGGGGTGAATAGGCACGATTGCACTTCAAATGCAACGTGATTGTGTACGTCCATGCATGGTACATGCACCGATATCGTACACACGTGTGTCGAACATCAGGATCATGTGAAAAGTTGACCGAAGTGAAGGACTGTCGAGGATTTGATTCTTGGATATTTGGTGAGCAACTGGACTTGTTTTGCGTAATGGCAACAAGTGAGCTGAAGCTCAAGGACAAATACACCACAAAAATGGGTGTTTATTGCAAAGTCTTGTCGTGGAGAAGCTTACAATTACATGTTTTAATAACAATAATAATTGACATTTATAAAGTGCCCAATCCATCAAGCTGCTCCCAGGAGCTGTACATCAAAATATAAATGAATAAATATAACCTGTATGTACCATAATTAAAATCAACACTAAGAAAGTAAAAATGCTTGTTTAAAAAGGTGCGTCTTCAGCCCGGTCTTAAAACTCTCGGCATTCCTAGACTCTCTAAAATGAACTTCAAGCTGGTTCCAGAGATGGGGACCAGCCACAGAAAACATCCTCTCACCAGCAGAAGACAGCCTAGTTTTTGGAAGAGTATGCCTGGATGATTCCAGCACGGAACGAGTGAATCGACTAGGAAAGCAAATCACTTAAATAACTTGGAGCACTGTCGTGGAGACATTTAAAGATCAGGAGACACACTTTAAAATCTACCCTA